CCACCACGAAGGCAGAGCGGGATCCTAATAAAACGCATTCCCGGGACATGGGTTATTCCTAGAAACGCTACCACGAAGCAAGGATAACCCCCGCCCGCGGAATGCCCTGAGGGGCAGGGACTCGCTCGTAGTACGCCACCACGAAGGCAGAGCGGGATCCTAATAAAAACGCATCCCGGGACATAGATCATTTCCAGATCAAATATCCCGCCCCCGTGACAAAGACCCGCTCACGCCGGTCTTCACATTCAAGAAGTAATCTCAGACCGTCATATGGCAAAAAGCAACGACCATCACACGCATATATATGAAGAGGGGGAAAGCAACGACCGCATTAGAGCGGCAATGTCTGGAAAAAGAAGGAAAATTACAGGAACCAGTTTATAGTCGAGACATACTCGACTCCAAAATATCAACGATTTAGCCAACAAGTTATCACTGTCCTCCTCGAGAGCTCACTTCATCTCCACCCGCCCCAGCTGAAAGAGTACCTTCCGAGTTGACATCATCTTCAGAGGAACCCCAGGCCACCACCGCATCCCACACGGCGTCAGTGTCCCACTCCAACTCTGGATGGTCGCGGCGGAACAGGTGTCGAATGGCAGCCACCGTATCTCCAATAGCCTTGGACCTCTTAGCATCATCAATCTGACGGAATGCGGGAGACAACAAATAGGAAGCAACGGCCGCCTTAGATGCGGCGTCCACTTCCGTCTTGTGACGCAGCAAGCTCTCAGTCCTTTCTTTCTCCAACTCCTCGACACGCACGCGAAGACGGGACGCATCCGCTTCCAGAATCTCCTTATCAGCCATTAAACTATTCACCTTTTGCACTCCTCGAGACAACTCCGCTCGAAGATCCTTTACGGTATCACCATGCTCCTTCTCCAGCTCTGCCTTGGCTTCGGCCCGAAACGCAGCCCGCCCCTTGAGTGACTCCGCTTCCAGCTCCCCAATCCGCTTCCGAAGCTTTTCCGCCTCCACCTCCCCGTGAAGGTTGACCGACTGCAGTTTGTCGTTGATCATCCCGACTTGAGACAAGCCCACGCCCGCCTACAGTTTCAAACTACCCCTTAAGGAGCGTTCAGAAAAGAGCCAAAATTGAACAAGGTAAAAATACATACCGCAAGGAGAAACCGGGCGGCAGTGCCAATCCAGTGCCTACTCGAGGGGTCCTCAACCTCCGTATATTCCGGGGGAACGAGAAGCTTCCCGGACAGTTCATGCAGCATACGGCGGGCGCAGTCTTCGCGCAAAGAGGAATGCGGAGAGAAGTCAACGGTTTCGGTCAAGGAGGTCGCTTTTGTCTTCTTCCGGCCATCGTCATTCTCCTCAGCAGGGCTCTCAGCAACACGCTTACCAACGTCACGCCCCCTACGCAGAACGTCCCCTCCGGCCTGCACAGTCAACTGCCCATCTACCCCGCTCGCGAGCGTGGTTTGCCCCGCCGGCGGAAGTGGAGCCCTGCTCAGCGGGATCAGTGACTTCGAAGGAGCAACAGTAGACGGGCCCGGTTTAGCGGCTGCCTGAGAAGAGATTCCAGCTTTGGAAGAAGGTAACTTGCCTCGCCTCGGCGGCCTCGCCATCATCGCCACGCTCCCGAAGTGCATAGCTGCATAAAAAGGGAAGCAGGTTAGGGTTACAGAATACAAGCCACTAGTTAAAATAATGGAACAGGTCAATCATGCTACTGACCATCTCCGAAGAGTTCGGTCAGAATAGACTTCACCGAATCGGGACCCCGAGGCTTCATCCTAAACGGAGTGGTTTCGGCAAGACGCACGACGTGATCCTTTTGAGAATCAAGGGTCCAGAGCCTAGCATCCCAATTTTCTTTCCGACCATATGCAAACCCCGTCCTAGGTTCTTTATCACCGGAATACCATTTCGATGTGGGCTTGGCATAAAAGAAGTCTTTGAACCACGCATTATCCAGCTTGGGGGACCCAGTGACGAATCCATACACCTTGTCCCGCCTTCCGAACGACCAAGCATTAGCAACCCTCCGGAGACCATAAATGAATCGGAAGGCATCAAAAGAGGGCTCAACCCCAACACGTCTGCACGCGAGCCGATAAGCGCATGCGTGGAAGATGACGGTAGGCGACAGGCGGCCAAGGGTGCAGTTCAAGCACAGAAGTGACTCTGTTATAATGGGATCCAGGGGGAACCGCAAGCCGCACTTCAACTGCTCGGTGTATATAGTAATCCAGCCCTTGGGACACGTACCAGCTCGGGAAGTAGGAGACGGGGCCGCATATTTCCAGTCGGAAGGCAGCTGGTGATTCCTAAGCCGCGTAAGAATGGTGGCGGGCGTTAGTCTACTGTGACGATCGGGGCCCCGTTCGAAAGCGCGGGCGGGTACCTCCTGTCTCCCCCACATGCGCTCATGCAGGCGTATGGAATACGCGTCGTCCTCCACCACCCGATAATCCTCACTCGAGGTATCTTCCGCAAGCTCTAAGGAGGGGGAGTCGGGCATTTCCGGCGAGTTTTGCTCATCAAGACTAAACCCCTCCTCCGAACTTGCTATAGAGACGTCACCAAAACTTGCCAGGTTATCCCCCATGGCGGAAGCGTCTTTCCTAGAGGCTACATTCTCTACGCCTAAACCCAAAGTAACATCGGTCAATTCATATGAGCCGTCCTCTGACCTACCCAGCAAGAACCGGCCGTCATCAGACCAGGAGCCGCCGAAATCAAAATCAAAATCTACCCCGCTAAGATCCCAGCCAAGTTCTGACGTACATAAAGGCGATAAAATGTTCAGATTTAGCATACCTTGGGCGGCAGCGGTTATGGGATCGGTAAGTGTTTCCGACGAGTCTAGGTTGATAGGTCCAGGCGCCGGAACAGCGGGAACGGCGGAGGCACCACCGCCGGCGGCATTAGCGACGACGAGCACACCGGCAGGGGACTTCCTCCGTCCGGGCGACGACCCTGAGCCGGCGGAGAGAGGCAGTTGGGACGTTTCATCTGCTCCGGCCATTGCAAGGGAATACTGGACTCGATCAGGTCGCAGCGAACTATAGGAGCAAAGGGGAGGAACCCGACGGCGAGGGTGTTCGAACAAAAAAGCCAAGGAAAAGCAGAGAATAGTGAGCAGAGAGACCGGCGAACAAGGCACAAACGAAGGAGAAGAAGAAAAAGAAGAGAAAATACCTTCGTGGATCCTTCAGAGGCTTTTAAACGTCGGAGGGCACAATTTCCAGGAGCGACGGTTGGGTTACCCTAGTGGCTATATAGGGTAATCATGTCGATGGGAGTTGAACGGCGGCGCGTCACTTCGACTGCTCGGAGGGTGCGTCATTACACGTGGCAGCCACGAGAGGATAAGATCGGCCCGAGGCGTGACGCCCGATGTGGGCGGCCGGGGGAGAGGCCATGTAGGGCGTTTCCTTTGGTTTAGGAAGCGATCCCGCCCTGGATTATAAGTATCAGCCGCCCAAACCCGGAGGCTTTACCCGCCTGCGGGACAATTGTTGGGCCATAGGGGATCGCTGTCTAAACCAAAGGCCCACGTGACCGGAGACGGCCCAAAAGGGGAAAAGCCCAAGGTAAGTAAGTCAAGGAATGGGCCGGCCCAAGGGACAAAGAGAACAGGTATAAGGCGCTACCAGGTCAGGCCTGCAGGAGGCGGGTAAGTACGACCAGAAAGGGGGGATCCACACCAATCATGCCATCACTGACACTTCATTAAATGCCGCCGCGAGCGTGTGGCACAGGAGCGGGAAAACACACGACTGACAAGACACACACACCCACCACCTCGGACTATAAATAGCAGCCAACCACTTCATTAAATGGTAACTGATTTCATACACTCTCTCTCTAAACTACTTTCTCTCTCCCTATCTCTAACTTAGTCATCGGAGAGTGTTCGCGGGCTACGCCCCGGACCCTTTGTGCAGTGAACGCAGCACCCGCGCGTCAAGGAACAACGGTATTCTCCAAAGGTCTCTCCTTTCCCGCCTGGTACATTCTAGGCTTAAACAGTAACAAATAATTTATTTTGTATGAATATAAAGTAAATAATCAACTTTTTACTTCTGTAAATTCTAGTAACCAATTTGTTACATTCACCATGGTTCATGGCTTAGTGACCATTTCTGCTGCTTACACGGAAAACTGGGTATGGAGTTGGAATTATGGCGGGAAAGGAAAAGACCACCCGCACCCCATCCCGCCAAAAAACCCGACGTGGCCAAAAAAAGAATATCCCCAAAAAACGGATTATCGGGCTTCGCTTTCTTCCCAATCTCTCTTCTTCCTCGATAGCTCCTTCCCCGCAAACCCTAAAATCACACGGCGCCAACTCATCGCCGGTCCCATTTCGAATCGCGCTTTCGCCCACGATAGCGGGACTTGAATCAGCTGGAGACTGGTTTCCAATTTTGTTTTCGCCTGGAAAAAAAGTCGGTGTATTTCAGCGATGGGTCTGATCAGGAAGGCAGGAGGCGTGGCGCCTCTGAAGAAACGCGCGAGGACGACGGATACAGATGAGAAACGAACGATTCCGGAATCGAAATCGATAGCTGCTGCATCGGCTTCACTCGCCGCGATATGGAGGTCATACGAGCGTACCGAGGGCAGGTTGGAAGCCTTGTCCCGCAGTCTGGGCTACGTATGCCCAATCGGGCCATTCAGACGGGCGGTGGTTTATCCATCTCCGGCCGCGCTAGTGGCTACGCATGATTCCGTGTCGGAAATGGAGAGGGCTTTGGAGCACATGGAGAGGAGATTGGAAGCCTTGTGCCGCATCAATGGCTGCGCACGCCCAGTGGCGCCCAGGGCTTAGTTGCTCTTCACGAGGTAGTTTTCCTTCTCTTTTACTTTCAGCTGTAGTGTATAGGGATTGTTAGTTGTTGTTGAATGTCTAGATGATCTTAAGATTGGAATGTGTGACATTGTAGATTTAGGGGTGGATGCAATATGAGAATGAATGCTTGAAAGTTGAAAGTAGAGCCATTTGTGTTTGATGGTTGCATGAATTGTGGGATCGAAAGTGAGCTGTTTTCGAACTCAAGAGAATAGTAGCAGCCTAATGTGAGATTTTGAGCCAAAAGATTTGATGATTTCTTGTTCTGTGCCGTGCTGGTTTGGTTTTCCTTGTAAACTAGAACTTGCATGATACTGTCTCAAGATGGTAAGTTTAAGAGAATGTTAATCGATTTTAATGGATGGACATAAACAGCAGCAGAATAATGTGAGATTTCGATCTTAAAACTGATGATTTCTTGTGGGGCGGTATTGCTTGCATTGTAAGTCCAGAACTTGCATGATTCTATACCTGAGGTAGTATTAGGCAGTTAAAGCTGATAGGGGCAATTAGGATCACCATGTAACTATATGGTATGGCTATTATCCCCTTTTGAGCCTTACACTTTCTTCCGAATTCATCACATTCAACTACATACCCCGTAAGTATAATGACCATTCGGAATCTATCTTCAGAAGCATGTAATTTTAGGTCGATTAATTTGATCAAATCATTAAGGTTAGAGTTGCCGTGCATCTTTATTGGTTGTTAATTTGACATGCTGCTGAAGGTTTATTGAGATAATGATAGTGGTAACAACAACAGAGAAGTCAGCTTTCATGTAGTGCAGTGGCTGCTACTATTGCAGTTGTATCCTCTGCCCCCTGCATTCCTGGCAATTGTGGAAGTTTAGAGGAGGAAGGACAAAAGGCTGGGGAAGGCTCATATCTTCTGGGGAAGATTGGAAAGGGGATAAGAAGACTTTTCTTTTCTCCTTTATTTCCTGTAAGATAGCTGTTTAATATAGATAAATTATGTTCTCTTGGAGGATAAACTAAATCTCAATTTTCTAGGACTTTGGGCAATGTAGCAACGGATAGGTCTATCTATGCTATGTTTTCCTGTTTATGTGTAGATTTCATAATGCCTCGTGTTGATTGATCACTTTCTCTTCAAATTGCAGTTTTCTTGGCTAATACATTGAGAGAATTCCCGGTAACTGAACACCCTTACACTTGTCACAATTGTCGATTCAAACGAGAGTGAAGTTATGAAGTTAGTTAATTCTCTCATTAATCGTAGTAAGGTAGTAGAGGGAATGTATATTCGTTCGAGTTGGAAGTTCCTGCTTTTCACCTGCATTAGGCTCATTTGCTTGTTGGATTTGGAAGTTCTAGCCATTATCATTGCACAGCATAGTGTCTCTGCTCTTATCCAATTTGTAAGGAAGGGTGGGTATGTGTACACTGTACAGCAAAGCTTGAAAAGAAATGCGTAGTATGTGTACAGTAAGCTTGACTAGAAAACATAGGGACAAGAATCATAAAGGTTAGCAAAATCATGGACGAAAGTTAAGATCATGATCTTGCTGTATTAACTCCCCTAGAAGCAGCACTGAAGGAGAAGAAACTAGCCACAATATCAAAAGGTATACGTGTTCAAGTTGGAAATTTTACTGCTTTTCACCTGAGTTTAAGTGGTTTCATCTCAAGCCATTCCCATGGCAAAACAGAGTCTGCTCATATCGGATGTCCGCGAAGGGACAGAGTCTGCTCATGTCAATTTGCAATAAAGGCGTGATATGTGTACAGCAGCTTGAGAAGTAAGGCGTGGTATGTGTACAGTGAGCTTGAAAAGAAACAAACATAGGGACAAGAATTATAAATGTAAGCAAAATAATGGACCAAAGATAAGATCACGATCTTCTGCATTAACTCCACATGATCTGCTTGTATTAGTTGTATGCATTATCAGGCTTCCTATAAATCCGTCTCCCAAGTCCCAAAGCCACCCATCATCACAAGATCGCCGCTGCTTCTACCACTGTCTTGCCTGTTGATTGTTCGCCATGGGCAAGATGCAGAGGGCGCCAGCCACAGTAGCACCACAGAAGAAGACTAAGAAACAATCATATCCAGAGCAAGTAGCCACTGTATCAATTCATCTCGCCGAGTTACGCAGCAGAGTCAGGGCGGCCGAATTGAAGCTGGAAGCCTTCAAGGGAGGGCTGCCTCCACTGCCGTTGTCTGCCGTGGCGGGCACAATGGTGGGTCCTCTGGCTTCAATCCTTGAAATGCAGAGGGAAATGGCGGAACTAAAGATGGCATTTAAGCACACCGTGGAGAGGGTCGAAGTGATGTCTCGCATCTACGGGTTACCACTCCCAGCTGGGCTCTCCTCCATGGCACATGAACTTTGATTCCGACGGGTGACTGACCTCTGGATTTAGCTATAGAAATCTGGATGAAAGAGTCTCAGTCTGTACTTTCTCGTTTTATGTCATCGTTGTATTGAGTTTTACAGTGTTTGATGTGGAGTGATCACCTTCACATGGGTATATCGTTTCTCGTGTTCTTATTGTATGAAGTCTGGATGGATATCCGGTCGGTCTATCTCTTCTCGTTTCTCTTACCATGTGTAGGTTTTGTAACTCTTTATGCCGAGAGAAATTTCACGTACATATATATCAAGCGTGAGTATGATGCATCTACAGCTCTTCAATATTACGTTCGAGATTATAATGCACTGTATGCAGATCTTAATACATGATGAAAAGCGATGCCATGGTCCACTGTCGACTCTCACATTATTTTCTTTGATTTCTATAGTTGCTTGATTCCAAGCTTTGACATCGGAGGCAGAGTATTCAGAGTTGACGGAATCGAAGGCTGCACCAACCTTCACGCAAAGCTTCTCCACGAGTAAAGGTTTTGCATTTCAGCAAATGCAGCTCAAGATCAGCAAGACAACGATTACAATCGGCACCGGTGACGCCAACCAGACAAGTGGACAAGGCTTTAACTGCACCACGAGGCGCCGTCGGAGGAAAGATTACAATACGGCCGGTGGGTTTTCCCTGAACCGGAGGCGGAGGGTAACGTGTAAATACCACCAGTACCTTAAGAGCTTCATCTACGAAATCGGAGAACGCCTTCGGGTGGGCCACCCGAACGGTGCTGCAGAACGGAGATTTATGGGAAGTAATGCTCCGGAACCCGACTAAGAGTGTGATTACGAATATCATCTGGGCTGCAGAAGTATATGAGAAGTAGTAGTACACCATTGTAGTGTAGATAGATCTCAGCAGTGCTTTCTTTCATATGAGTTTCTACGCTTTTTATAGGCTCAAGGTTGTCAACCCACTTTAGCCCATTGGCCTGATCAAGCAGGTGGTTAAGAGTTAATGGTTCGATCATTTCAGTTCGGTTTAGCTCGTGTATATGAAAAAAAGTATTATATTGTTCATATATTTATAAATTATATTAAATCTAATCTAACATATGAGTAATAATATATAAAATTACACCAAAATAACATATCGTACTTGAATCCAACATACACTATAAATTCACACACACTTTAGATCAATATTCAAATGTTCAACTTAGAATTCCAAAGATAGAATTAGGCGAAGAAAAAAACTGGAAAAAGAAGCTGTTAGAAACACGTTTTCTAAGGAAAACGAGTTTCTATATTATTAGGTTTTATTAAATATGGTAAGTAGTCTTCTAGTAGAATTAGGTTTATTCTTAGGGTTTTCTAGTATTTCCCTATATATATGTACTTTGGGTCATTCGTCATATTAAGCAGAAGTTAATAAAAGAATTATCTCCCTAAATTCCTATCTCAATCCTCTCAATTCTTAACCTCAATCCCTCTAAAGGCTTAGGCCGATTCTCTTCTATTCTTCCCCAATTCTTCTCCCAAATCCCTAATACTATCTTCTCAATCCCTAAATTCCCAAATATCACCTAATCCAAATCCCGTTAGAAACTTTGTTTCTAACATCTGGTATCAGAGCCCGGTTTCGAGAATTGAGTTTTTCACAACTCTCAACCGGGGACAAGTTCTACAACTGGTTCGACGATGAGCTCTTCAAGGCTCTCGGAGCTGTCATGGGCGGAACTACGGGAACGGGCCCGCCGCATCGGACGTCGTTGGATCCCCGAGGAGCTACCGCTCGCGCAGGAAGAAGATCATGCCGCCATCAAAGGCACCATCACCACCGTCGCAGCGCCGGAGTCGCGAGAACCGAAGCTGGCTATGGCTTCTATCCTCGGAGAAGAGGCTGCTGCCGCAGCAACCAAACCACCACCAGCAGCGGTGGGAACCACCACCGTTCGTGCCCAACCTGCCGACCAAGGCGAAGCTTCAAAGATCACGATTTCCACGATCGGGTCGGAAGAACCAGATGCTGAGAAGGTTGGATTGGGTCTGAAAGTGGACGAGAGATCGCAGGTATATTCCAAAGGCCCTGAATTCCCAATTTGTGGGTCGCTGATAAAGAAAGGTAGGGTTGATTGGAAGTTTAGGAGGAGGAAGCAAGAGGCCGGCGAAGGGGTGGAAACCACCGTTGAAGGGAGCAAATCGAACCCTGTGCGGGAGCAACAGAAGAGGACGACGGGGATTGCGGCGGAGACGTGCAGGTCGGCGAAGGACGTGGCCGCATCCGAGGAGAAGAGGAAGGACCGCGTCGACCACGAACGACGTTGGAAGCGATCGCCATTGATGGAATCATCTTCGGGGAGTCGGGGTCTGTCACCGAAGCTGCAAATTTCGACAGGGAAGCAGCGAGTGAGGGCGGCTGACGTCGCGCCACCGATCGGCAAGGAGAGAAAGGCGAAGGATGGGTCGCCAAAATCGAAGTTGGCATCTACCAACGCAGAGGCAGAAAGCACCACGAAAAGGGAACCACCGTCGCTAGCCACCCCGATCGCCGCAAGAGGTCGGGAAAACCGCCAGTTACTGGGGGATCTCTGCAACGTCGGACAAAATGAGGACGGGAAGGTGGAGCTGAAGGCGACGACGGAGCAGGGCTCGTCTCGTCGGCGGCGGATGAGGAAGACCTCGACCGAGAACGAGGAGTTGTTGGAGGATGAAATGGAGGGAGAGATGAAGAGGAAGGGCGGCGCGGCCTCTCCCATAGTGACGACAACCGACAAGGACGCGTCGGAGAACGAGAAGAAGAAGACGGAGATGGTAGAGAGTGAAGAGAGGGAGCAGACGACGGCGGCGGCTTCGGGCTGCCCGCCGTGCAATTGGTCGGGTTGGTCGCCGCCGGGAAAGGAAGTTGCGAAGAAGATGAAGAAGGCGACGTCGAAGAGGGCGCCAGAACTCGAACCGCCGTCGGAGTACGTGGCGGAGTTGAAGTCGACGGCTAGGTCAGGAGGACCGCCGTGCCGTCGGCGGGATGATGCGCCGCTGGAGAATGAAGCGAAGAAGAAGGAAGGCGGCGGGTGTTCTTCCGCAACCCTAGGCCGCCAAGGAGTGGAGTGGGTTGGGCACCCATCGGGCCGAGAGTTCCAAGCCGAGTGGGCCGAGAGGCCAATGAAAGTGGACCAGACCAGCCCGCACCCATGGGTGGAGTTTGTTGGGCCAGGATGGATTTCGCATGGGCTCTCCCTGGGCCGAGTTTCAGTGGGCTATTTTGTAAGACTTGTCTTGCAGGGACAGAACTTGAGAGAAGAAGAATGTGGGCTAGTTGGATTAAATGGTGGGCTGAACAAGAAAGAACTCAGCTGGCATAAAGAGAAAGATGGGCCGAGTTTTAAGAGAGGGCTTGGGCCTCTGTTGGGCTGTCTGATTTGTTCTCTTTGGTTTGAGCAAGGCTTGAAGGAAAAGAAAGAGTGGGTTCTTACCTTGGCAAATGGGCTTACAAGGGATCCAAACCCAAAAGAGATTAAGAAGGAGAAGCTATGGGTTATTGTCACCACTAAGCCTATTGCGGAAATTATGAAGCACATCCTTGAAGACCAACTAATGGAGCACAAGGAAGAACAATTCTCCGATCCTTATTTCGTTGATTTCGAAAAGGAAGAGGGCGGACTGTTCGGCTGTGAAGAACGTGACACATGTCACGTGGGTGGAGAAGAAACAAGGAAATTAGGAGTTGCTCGAGAAGAGTTCATTCATGAAATTGAGCACAACTGGAAACGAAGAAAGCGGAAGGTCAAGAAGAAGTGGGTTGAGTCGATCAACCTTGAGGGCAAGGTTGGTCTCAAGGGGGATGGGATGTTAGAAACACGTTTTCTAAGGAAAACGAGTTTCTATATTATTAGGTTTTATTAAATATGGTAAGTAGTCTTCTAGTAGAATTAGGTTTATTCTTAGGGTTTTCTAGTATTTCCCTATATATATGTACTTTGGGTCATTCGTCATATTAAGCAGAAGTTAATAAAAGAATTATCTCCCTAAATTCCTATCTCAATCCTCTCAATTCTTAACCTCAATCCCTCTAAAGGCTTAGGCCGATTCTCTTCTATTCTTCCCCAATTCTTCTCCCAAATCCCTAATACTATCTTCTCAATCCCTAAATTCCCAAATATCACCCAATCCAAATCCCGTTAGAAACTTTGTTTCTAACAGAAGCACATTTCACAAATCAAAGATAAAACTACGCGTGTGACATCCAATCCAATAACTTTCTAACGAATCAACTCGCGAATAAGTGTAACCAATTTTTTTTATTGGGTCACGAGTCAACTGAAAGGTCAATCCCCAAATTGACAACCTTGTATAGGTTAAAAATGGCTTCTCGATCGATCATTGTTGGCTTCTCTCTATGGGTAGTGTTTTAGTTTCTCCCTTCTCTCCCAACTTTTTTTTTGGCTACTAGCTTAATTTGGAAGAGTATACTGACACTCTTCTCAGATTCCATCGGCCAAAGAAATAGAAATTGGTATTTGTCGGTAATTTAATATGTACATTACCTAATATCCTTTACAATTTACCAAGAAAACAATACATTTCAATCGATTTTGGTTGGCCTCGGTTAAATTAAGGGTTGATATCGTTTGACCGAGGTCTCAACCGAAACTAATTTGTCCAATAAAATAGAAAAGTTTCCAAACATACACTAACTCTTGTACTAGCTATTCTTGAGCGATAGGGACAATCAATTCGTAGTGATGGAATGACGAATTGAATGGGAATCCTCCCACCGTATCTGTTGAGCTTGTCGTATTTGCCTATGTGAGGCATATCAATGATCAAACGAGGTCAACTTCCAGTTTAATCTTAGGTCAAAATGAAATCGGTTTTCGGCTTGATCGTAAAGTTGAACTGTTTTTTAGTTTGAAACACGGTCTGACATAACTTTTATCGTGGCACCGATCTACAGTAAAAGTTCGGTCGGAGCTTGAATCAAGTAGTTTTTTGGTCCGCATGAAAATTTTAAATCATCAATAGAATATAAGATTGTGAAATTTTACCAACCTATCAGTACTAAAATCATGTCTTCCCCTTGATTTTCGGTAGGGGTGTATTAGTCATAGCCAACTCTTAAACCCCGCCAAAAATTTGCTATCTTTACGTTTTTGTTCGCAATTAATAGGGTAAATTCCAAGTTTGGTCACTGAAAATTACTAAACAATTCACGTTTTGTCACTTAAGTATTTTATTTCATTCATGGTCACTGAAATTACTTTAATAGTCAAAGTTTGGTCACTGTCCGTTACCTTCCATCAGTTTCTATTAACGATGTCAGTTTTTTTGCTGGCGTGACTAATATAAATCCCTAATCAGTCAATTTTTAACCGAAAATTAAAACCCAACTAGCCGCGTCAAATAGCCCATGATCCAACCCTATACTCTATCTCCTACTGGACCCCAAGCCCTGCAGATCTCCCTAAGTTGGACCAAATATGCATCAACAACCAACTCATGTTTTATTATATCAAAATCAAGAAACCATGTTATAGGATAAATGCCACATTTGGTTATTGAGATTATTAAATTGTGTTATGTTTAGTCACTAGAAAAATTTAAAATCAATTTTGGTAACTCGAATTACTGAAAGAGGTCACATTTAGTCACTCTCCTGTTAGTTTCCGTCCAACTCGATTAATGGGAGAGTAACTAAATGTGACATGTTTTAGTAATTCGAGTGACCAGAGTTGGAAGGAGGCCAACAGGAGAGTGACTAAATGTGACATCTTTCATAGCCGCTTGAAAAAATGGATTAATGATTTACAAAAAAAAGGATAATGTCGACAAGGTCCAGATAATGGTATAAGTTTCCCTTAATAATAAATTCTTATTAGGGTATCCACATCAATGTAATTGCAAAAAGCCATTTGCATTTGTGCTTTTTATTGTCAACTCAATTTTTTTGGCAACCCGCATCACATTCATTTCATTTACTTACATCAATGCAATTAACTTGCAATTGCATATGTGGGTCTAATTTATTTTTAATAAAATAAAAGGTTTGTATGTGTGTAATTTTTTAATAAAATAAAATACACTTACATGCAATTGCATATGGAATTGCATAAAATAAAAACTTGCATGATTGCAATTGAGACTTACGTCCATGAAATTGGTAATACAATTGCATTTTCTTTGCCACGTCACCTTGCAATTCAATATAATTGCTTGATGTAGATGCTCTTACTTTATTGTTCTTATATCATATATATTCCTCGCACTTGAATTTACTTCATCATCGTCCTTTAAATTCATTTGCTACAAATTAGCCTCTAAATTAGATCTCATCATAAATCTATTTATTATATTTGAAATATTTTTTTTATATTTCAGTGGTAATTTTTTAGAATCAATATCAAGAAAAAAATTAAATTCTATCATATTTTATTTTTTAATAAAAGTACCATAATAATTCTATTTAGAATATCTAATTTAGAAGTATGTATTGTTTAAATTAAATATTCAAAATAATTTATGCGATTCATGATGATTGAGAGACCACAAAGATGTTCTTCAAATCAATTGTAAAAATGATAAATTGCTATATTAAGAACAATTATGAATTATTTGGTCTGTAATGTAAAATAAATTGGGTCAGTCATCCGGCACAAAGCTAGTTATTATTATATCAAATTTGCAGCGGTTCACTCGAACCAAACCGTTGCACGCGCTTCCCGCCATAGGCCGGGCAGAAAGCGACGTCGCATTAACGGCTTTTCCGGTTTCCCCCGTTTTTCCCTTTTCCCAACTATCTTCGCGCCTGCCCGGCTGCCCCTCAAATCCCTAAAATCAGTCGTCGTCGCCGCCGCCGCCCCAACGCTTTCCCTACGAATCACGCCGCCGGAGCCGAGTACACAGCCGGCCGACATCACCCCAGCGAGTACCGCCGCGAACCACCCTCACTAGTGTGATTTCCGCCATGGGGAAAATGACGAAGTTGGGCGCCGTAGCCCCTCTGAAGAAACGAAGCAACAAAGAGCGAATAGCGTCTAATTCAGCTCAAATCGCGGCGATGTGGAAGAAATTTGAGGAGACCGAGCGGGTGTTGGAAGCCTTTTCCCGAAGCCAGGGATACACGTGCTTATTGGGGCCCTTCATGGGAGCGCTTCCTCCGTTACCGGCGGCCCCTATAGTGGACGTAGACAGGGCGATCGCCGAAACAGACAGGGCAATGTCCGAACTGCAGAGGGCAATGAAACACACGGAGAAGAGGGTGATAGTCATGTGCCGCAGCCTCGGGTTAGCATTCCCAATTGGGGCTTCTTCCAGGCGCATGCATCAACCCTAAGGCAGAGGAGTCATCCGCCGATCCCACACCTTAGTTTCTGTGCTAAGGTACTCTTCTTCCACTTTGAGCGTAGTGTTGAGTGCTGTAGTAGATGATTTAAGATTATAATGCGATTGTTTTGTAGATTTAGGGGGTGAATGGATTTGGAGATATTTGCATAAATGGTGAGATTGAATTGGGAGTTTTGGAATTAGACCTAAAGAGAGAGTTGATCGTGGTCAAATTGGCGGGCTATGTGAGGTATTGAGCCGAAAGCTGATGATTTCTTCTTGTGGGATGTCTTTTACTTGCTTGTAAGTTGTAAAGTCTAGAACTTGCATGATATCATGTTGAGATTGAATTGCTCACGCACCACTAACTTAACTGAACATAGACAATTAGGATCATCTTCTAGCAGAGTATGATCCACCTTTTCTAATTTACCCATAGATTATCCCAAATGAACGGTTAACATTTTCTTCGACATTCAGCCACATGGACCTGTCCTATTTCTTGTTTGTTGACCCTTTTGAAACAATGAGAATGTAGCATTAAGACGATTGTTAGGGTGCTCGTGCATCATAGTTGGTTGGTTCATTTGCTGTGCTTCTTAAGGTTTGTTGAAATAATGATGATGATGATGGAAATGAAAGAAGTCAACTATCGTGTGATGCCTACTTGCAGTTATGCCCTCCTCCAATGGCACCCATGTATATCGAAGCGAGCGGTGGATCGAGGGAGATTAGTGTGGTTTTGAGTTAGACTATCATTTTCCAGACCAGGTAGTTATTTCGATTTGTCACACTGATAGTGAATCAATTTAGCGGGCTAGCACCATAGTCCATAGCACATTATGCTTCTCGAGAAAGATAGTTATCTCATGAGTGATAGTCACCTACTAGAGGGTATATGTATTCAAGTTGGAAGTTTTGCTGCTTTTTATCTGAGGTAAGTGGTATCATCTCAAACCATTACCATGTCAAAGCAGAGTCTGCTCTTGTCATTTTGCAAGGGAAGCGTGCTATGTGTACAGCAAGCTTGAATTAGTTGTATGCATTATCAGGCTGGATGTAAGCAACCGTGGCCTTTCATATTTCCGAGCTTTGACATCAGATTCAGAGGCAGAGTATTCAGATTTGATGGAATTCAAGGTCACACAAACCTTCATAGGCAGATCTTCCACGAGTAAAGTTCTTGCATTTCTGCAAATGCCGCGCATGATGAGCAAGACATCGATTGCAAGCGGCACCGATGACGCCATCCTCACAAGTGGACCGGCCTTCAACAGCACCACGAGGCGACGTCGGAGGAAAGGTTACCACACGGCCGGTGGGTCTTCCCTGAACCGAAGGGTAACTTGTGAATACCACCAGTATCTTGAGAGCTTGATCGACGAAACCGGAGAACGTCGTCGGGTCGTCCACCCGAACGGTGCTGCAGATCTTTTTATGGGAAGTAGCCGCGCTCTGGAACCCGACGAGGAGTGTGATTATGAATATCATTGGGGCTGCAGAAGGATATGAGGAGTAATAGTGCCCCATTGTATTTCATATTTCTCATTCAGTGCTTTCTTTCAGATGAGTTTCCAAGCTTTTTATAGGCTTAAAAATGGCTTCTCGATCGATCGATCATCTTTGGCTTCTCCCTCGATGGGCAGTGGTTTAGTTGCTCCGGCCTCCGTCTTTCCCAGCGTTGAATTTTGGCTACTAGCTTAAGTAGGGAGAGTATACTGGCACTCTTCCCAGATTCGGCCGGCCAAGAAAATAGAAGATTGGACTTAGTGAAATCTTCCGACAATAGTCTCCATGGATATAGTTTTTATAATTTTCTAAGACAACAATACAATCAGTTATGTTAACATCATTTGATTGAGCTCTGGACCGAAACAGTATTAACCCCGATCAAGCGAGGTCAACCAGAAATTGGTTTCGGCTTGACCACTGAGCTGGACGGATTTTTGGGTTGAAAAACCGCCGGAGCTCAAACGGAGCAGCTTTTCTGAGTCTGAATTGAAACTATGGATGAAAGTGAGGATCATTTCGGAACACTTCAAACACTTCTAGTACCTATAGGTAACTTATAAATTCTGATTGCATTATCGCGGGCTTCTCTGTTCGCTCTTTCCTTTCCTTCCCCAAAAGGGCAACTGAGATCACAGACGTCGCTGCATCGCCGGAGACCGCCAGCGAATCGACCTCAGTGGTGGTGGTATTTCAGCCATGGGGCAAATGAAAAAGCTGGGAGCCGTGGCACCGCTGAAGAAACGGAGCTACAAGGAGCGGATAGCGGCTAGTTCAGCCAAACTCGCCGAGATATGGAAAGAATTCGAGGATTCCGAGCGCGTGTTGGAAGCCTTTTCCCGAAGTCAGGGCTACACGTGCCCGATCGGGCCATTCGAGGGAGCGCTCCCTCCATTTCCTGCGCCGGGGGCCCCTGTGGTGGATGTGGAAGCTTCACTCTCCGAATTAGAGACGGCAGTCGCCGAAGCGCAGAGGGCGTATAAGCACACTAGCCAGAGGCTGGAATTAGTGTGCCGCAGCTACGGCTTACCAAGCCCATTTGGCCCCTCCTCCAGGCCTTAGTTTTCTGCCCGGAGGTACCCTTCTTTCACTTTTTGAGGTGGCAGTGTTGACTGTTTAGATGTTAAGATCAGAATGTGATAGATTGCTTTGTTAGATGTAGGGGGTGAATGGATGTTGAGATCTGATTTGGATATTTAAAACACGGGAAATGAGTGCTTGGATGAATGTTGTTAATCGAGTTCAACAGTGAGTTGATCATACATAGTTAGCAGCCTATGTGAGGTTTGAGCCGAAAACTTACGATTTCTTGTTTTGTTCTTTTTGCTTGCAAGTCTATAGCTTGCATTATATCATGCTGAGACCACAACATATATGAGAGGCGATTAGGATCATCAGGTAGCAAAAAATGACCCACCTTTTACTTAGTTTACCCCAGATTGCCTTATGTGAGCATTAATACTTCTTTCAAATTCATTAAATTGAACCACATGCCTATATTTTCTTGTTTCTCGACCCTTTTGAATAAAACGTTTGCAAGAAGAATGTAGTTTTAAGACGATTTTTACGGTGCTCCTTGTGCATATTAGTTAGGTTGGTTGGGTTAATGTGTTGCAGAAGGTTTGTTGAGTTAACAATGATGATAATAGTAATATAGAAGTCGACTTTCATGTGGTGCAGGCAAATTGCAGTGGGCTCTTACTATTGCAGTTATGTCCTTCTGTCACTGCACCCATGTATATTGAGAGGGAGCAGAAATGATTGGGGGAAGTCTCATATATTGCCAGGGGGAAGAAGACGGTGATCAAAGTCTTTTGTTGCTCCTTTATTTTGTAGAGAGATAGATTTTTAATAGGGAGTCATGTTTTCTTGGATGATGAACTAAATCTCAATCTTTTGCCGAAGATTTTAGGATTATGTATCTATTGGATCTCGTTGGATTAGTCGAAGTCTATCTTTCTTCTGTTTTCATATTGTGTGCAGATCTTATAATGCTTTGTTGATTGTCACCTTCACATGTGAAGTGCAATCCATTCTATAGATTAATATCGGGAGGGGGGAAAATATCCTAGTTACTTTGCAATCTAATCACACTTCAATCACTAATTTTCCATACAACAGAGTATGACTTGTGTCAGTTGTAGCTCCAGCAAATCTGTATTCTTAAGTAAACCTCACACTTTTTCTTTATGGTTCTGAGATAAATGTGTGAAGCAAAGAACAGTTCCTTCTTCTTCATGAGTGGTCCATGTCCAATGTCCCCTGTTGTAGGAAGTAGCAATGCAAGTGAAGATGCTCTCTTAGCACCAAAGAAGAGGGTTTGGTATCAGATCTCACATCCCCTCATGATTACGAGTCACCTGACCTGATGCATATTTTATAGAGTTTCTGACCAAATGGTCTATCTAGGTCATGAATTTGGTTGCCACGTACACAATCACCAGTAAGCTAATAGTGCTTCCGACACTGTTAGATCATGGCTTCCTGTGATCTCAGCTGATGGATCGATGCGGTGGTAATCTTGTAAACAATGCCACCCGTGTCGATCCAATAGCGAGATCACTGGTGGCACTAGATTAACATACAACTCATAACTCGAGCCAAATTCTGGCAAATATGTTTTCCCCAAGGAAATTGTGAGAGGCTGGGAGCTGCAAATGGTTATGTATCAGTCAGCTTGTAGCAGGCATATTCAAATGTATGAGCTAATTGGTGGATCACATTCGGTGGAAGACTCCCTAGATAATTTAAGCTTTGAACTTTGAAGTGTAATTATGATGAGATATTTTCCTGTAAAAGAACAAATTGATTTAAAGTTTGTCTTGGAATCAATTAGGAGATATGTTGTTTGAGGAAACAAAGTAGTTATTTCCTCGAGAGAGATGCTTTAAGGTTTGTAATAAAAGCAAAGCATATAACATCATGATCTTCCTCATGCTTTTCCCTTGTTCCATCCTAGTGGGTTGAAAGAAGGTTTCTTGTTGAGCTTTGTTACTGTCGTATGGCTTCTTTCACTGTCTTGACTATTAATAATAATAATCAATCAATTAGCAGAAATCTAGTGTTTAGGAATCTTAGTACCAGGTTTAATCATAGGTCTATAGTACTTGAGGTAACAAGGCTGGATAGGATATATTTTGAAGAACCTTTTTGAGGGGCCACTAGCTGGGGTCTTGAATAAGAATGTTCAAAAGATAGCTCCATAAAGAGCAAAAGCATCTCATTTTGAACTTTTTCCATCTCTTCACTCTTTCTGGGATTAAGAAAGAGGAAGTCTTGGGACACATTTAGGGAAGGGAATCAAGCAAGGAAGCCACTAACAGGAGTGGTAGTTCAGCATGCTCCACATGGCTTTACAATATTTGTTTTTGTTTATCTTCTCTCTCTCTAGTAAGTATGTAATCCATGTTACTGTATATCCCTAACTTTCCTACCGAACCATGAATTTGGCTATCATGTTGAAAGAGTAGTGCTTAGTTGTCTGATGAAGAATCGGACAATAGTGATGAGCTCTGGATGAGGTGAAAAAATGAGCGGTTTTGATACGTTCGCGTCCAGCACGTATCATAACCGTGTGATTCTTGTTCGTACTGTTGAGTAGGCATGAGCTATCCCTTTTTAGCAGCCATGCTGAATTGCCAAACAATGGTTAGCAGTTACCAAAAGATGCCTAAAGGGACATCCAAAGTACAATCTTCTGCTGAAAGATTATGTTAACTCCGAAGAAAAGGAAGTTGATTGAAGAAGACAACTTTATTCCATCTCTTTGTTGGGTATAAATGGCCTAGTGAGTTTCCATTAGTGGGTACTCACACATTTACAGATTACCTTCCAAAGTTTCTATCGTTGGTTTCCATTTGCTCATTTCGTCACCATGTCTCTGAGGTCACTTGCAGCAGCTACTGGTGCAAACATGCAGCTGATCAAGGGTGACCGTGGCGGGATGCTATCAATGTCTGACGATAGCGTGATGATGAAGCAAGTGCAGGCGACTCATGCACCAGACGGCAGAGAAGTCGATGTGGCCCCACTTCTTCACCTAGTTGAAGACATCCTCAATCGCGCCACCCTTCAAGTTGAACCGCCATTGCTGGTATGGTATACCATCAGTTAACAGCTTCTCAAGAAAATGAATGCAGTTTGAATGTCTGTTTGTTTCTATGGTATTCTAATCAGTTTTGTATTTATTTCCGTTCGGAAAAAGGCTGGCCAAGCACATGCAGAAATGGAGGAGAAGAACCACCAGATCAGCTACTCCATAGTGCTTGATGCTCTGTCCTATGTCATTGACAGAATTTCTTGTGAGGTTAGTTAAGAGGAGACTATATCAAAATAGGGTTATGAATGGTATTTGCAGTTCAATTTGACAAACAACACTTGTCCATGTACTGCGACTTGTAACAAATAAGTCCATGTACTGTGCCATTGTCGTCCAAATTCATTACTTGGCTCGACTCGTACTTAGTAAATCATGTCCTTGATGACTCAACGCTATGTACGGTCGGGAATCTTTGTTTTCAGATAGCCTACAAGGCACTTGGAGGAGCAGATGCACACGGCACAACCATGACAATACTCGAGACACTCACAAGCTTCCAATGGGATGCTAAGCTGGTGATGACCTTAGCTGCATTTGCACTCCACTATGGAGAGTTCTGGCTCCTTGCACAGATCTACTCCTCAAACCAGCTTGCCAAATCCATGGCCATCCTGAAGCAACTCCCCACAATCCTGGAACATTCCGGTCCATTGAAGCCTCGATTCGATGCCTTGAACAAGCTCATCAAGGCCATCCTGGAGGTTACTAGGAGTATGGTTAAGTTCAAGGAGCTTCCACCTTCATATATCTCCCAAGACGTACCTGCATTGTCAGCGGCCATGGCCCATGTTCCCGCTGCTGTCTACTGGACTGTGAGAGCCATTGTGGCTTGCGCGAACCAGATTACTCTGCTCACCACCATGGGACATGAGTATGGCTTTCTTTTTTGCGCAACTTCGCATCATAAGTATTTCTTGTTTCCAAATTAAAGGTGGCAAATACCAATCCATCTAATTCCTGAACCCTCAAAACTTAACTGTTTGGCACCTCAATTCAGAAGTCAAGTTTTGACGAGTCTCTCTTTGAAACTTGCTTCCTAGGTATGCACTTACGACTACAGAGTCATGGGAGCTGTCCACATTGGAACACAAGCTCACCAACATACATGAGCATATGAGGAAGGAGTTAGCTACATGCCACCAACACATAGGTTCTTTTGATTGCTTCTTGTGCAAGGATCAGCTTATATGTTAGGATCAATAAAATTCATGTAAAACTAGTGTTTTTTGTGAGTTGCAGATGAGAAGAGAAGCCTTGAAGAGTACAAAATGCTGGTGGATATGTTTGAGATGATCCACATTGACAACATGAAGGTGCTGAAATCACTGATTTACAGCAAGGATGACATGCAACCACTTGTCGATGGATCTACCAAGAGAAGGGTTAGTTAACCAGGTCTTTCAATTTCATCAGTTAAATCGAACTTACTTCAAGTTGTTAATTTTGGAGTTTGATTGCACAGGTCAGCATTGAAGTGCTGAGAAGGAAGAATGTCCTCCTACTGATATCAGACCTCAACATCTCCAACGACGAGCTGGCGATCCTCGAGCAGATCTACAACGAGTCGAGGCTGCATGCGACAAGGCTGGACAGCCAGTACGAGGTGGTGTGGGTCCCTCTAGTGGATCCTTCGATCCAGTGGACCGATGCAATGCAAACAAAGTTCGACAGCCTGCAATCCACAATGCCATGGTATACGGTGCACCACCCTTCGTTGATCCGGAAGGCAGTGGTTAAGTTCGTTAGGGAACAGTGGCACTTCAGGAACAAGCCCATCCTTGTGGTACTTGACCCGCAAGGCAAGGTTGTCAGCCCCAATGCCATCCACATGATGTGGATTTGGGGAAGCAATGCGTTTCCTTTCACAAGCAGGAGGGAAGAAGACTTGTGGAACACGGAATCATGGAAGCTCGAGCTTCTGGTCGATGGAATTGATCCAATGATCCTCAACTGGGTAAAAAGACAGAAACCTATGAATTTCTAGTTCCTGCGCGATGCTCTTCTAACAAATGCATACCTATACTATGATCTTTTTACCAAGGAACATATCCTTGCAGTACTATTTCATTTTATGCTTTTATTAAGTCCCTTGATTGAAGATCTCATGAAAGTTAAATTACAGTTAGGATCACTACTTACGGGTAATAATCACATCCTAGCTAGATGGCTTACATGTCACATATTTGTTTCAGATCAAGGAAGGGAAGTACATTTTCTTGTATGGAGGTGACGACGTAGAATGGGTACGAAAGTTTACAAACTCAGCCCGAGCAGTTGCTTCAGCAGCACGCATTCCCTTAGAAATGGTCTACGTGGGGAAAAGCAGCAAAAGAGAGGCAATCAGGAGAGTCCTAGCAACGATCACAGTCGAGAAGCTGAGCTACTTCTGGCAAGATCTCACCATGATATGGTTCTTCTGGACACGACTCGAAAGCATGCTGTTCTCCAAGATCCAGCTCGGGAAGATTGACGATCATGATCCAATGATGCAGGAGATCAAGAAGCTGCTGAGCTACGACAAGGAAGGAGGGTGGGCTGTTTTGAGCAATGGCTCAAACATAATATCAAATGGACATGGGAACACTGTGTTGACAACTCTGATCGAGTATGACCTGTGGAAGGAGCACATTCCTGTTAAAGGATTTGATTTGTCGTTCGATGAGCACCACAAGAAGATCCATGGGGTGACTTACCCTTGCTGTAGGTTCGAGTTTCCTAACACTGCTGGGAGGATTCCTGAATCGATGAGGTGTCCTGAGTGCCATCGGACAATGGAGAAATACACTACTTTCCTCTGTTGCCATGATGTGGGAAATCCTCATGAGTCATCGCTGTTCTAGGACTCCCGCAATTGTTGCTAAAGAGATGCTGAAGTTTCTTCTTAGAAACTTGGACTAAATAAAGTTTATCGGTATGATTTGTTGCTTTATCTTGATTTTTGTATCGAGATTTTCTTCTTGACATTGCCAATGACCACTATGTGGGGTTGGCTGGCTAGTTGAGTTAAATGAATAAAGCATTTGTGCTTTTATGTTGATCAAAGCGGCTACATATGGAAAGTGTATCATATGGAGTTCCTTCTTCAATCATGTGTCACTTGGTAGAGCAATCTTTCAGCTTCCTTTCCACTTGTCTTTGTGTACTTTATGCCATGTGAAATACTTGGGTTTGAAATAGGATAATCAACAAACTGAAAATCTAACGAAAATGCTAACAAGATTGAATATTTCGTAACTAAACACTCAGTCCATCTAGTTGGTTTCATTTCATTGGCTTTCAAAGTCACCATAGCCTCCTCCCACCTTGCAGCCACTCTGCCAACCTGCAAACTAACCTGAAATCCTACGATCGGACAATTTTAGTGACCTGGACATGTTGACTCAACCGAATTAACAACGCATTAGACGGAGACCCTGAGTATTTGTTTTATAAATTATAAACCAACTTAAGTTGAACTAGTGACCTTCTATCACAAACGTCCTAGTTTTGTTTTTTTTTTTTTCCAAGTAAGGTCAAAGAACAATAGTTAAATCCTCTACCCAAAGCCCCGAAAACAAAAAGCAAGAAGCCACCCTACAAAATCGAAGGACACTATCTCTAAAGGGGACAGCAACAGGGCTTGTCTTGCCACTCTATGGGCAGCCCAGTTGGCAGTCCTCGGAACCGCACTAAAAAGAATACACGAGGGACAGGACCTCAACAACTGAAAGCAATCTCTAAGAAGGGGACCTCCAACCGAATCTTCACAGCAGCCACTTTCCAGTTGACGGATGACGACTTCAGAATCACCTTCAATGATGACGCTGGGAAGACTCCGTGAAATGACAAGAGAGATGGCGTCTCTTGCCGCCATGAGTTCTGCAAGATAGGGATCCGAGACTCCGAGATGAAGGAAACCCAAGGCCAAAAAGACTTGCCCATCTGGACCTCGAGCTACGAGCCCTGAAGAGCAATCCGGAACACGAACAGCAGCATCGAAGTTGATCTTGATAAAACCATCTGGGGGGCCAGTCCAACTGGTCGGGCGAGACGAGAGGGGGCGGGGCGTAAGAGCTTGAGGCTGGGAGGAAACTGAGGAGAATTCATGGACTTGGAAGAAAAATTGACGGGCAAGCGATGTGGCTAGTGGTTGAGTGAATTCAAAAACCACTTTATTTCTAGATTTCCAAATTCTCCAAAGGAGGCAAATGCAGGGGAGATAGTGGATTTGAAAGTTTTCCGAGTTCATAACATGTCGCCATCAGATACCAAAATTATCAGTTGGGGCGGAAATAATTAAATTGCTTAAACCCACTATATTCCATAGTTGGAGAGCAAGAGGACACTGGAGGAAGAGGTGCTCAACACTCTCTTTTCTGGTCCAACAAACTGGACATCGAACTTGACAATTTATTCCTCGAGATCTCAGGGCTGTCATGGTTGGTAGGATAACTTTCAGACATTGCCAGATGAAGAATTTAAGCTTGGGTGGGACGTCAAGTGCCCACATTCTTTTCCATATTGGAGGGTCAATGATGGAAACTGTCGCCTTCTGTGTGCACTTTAGAATATTTTCCAAGGCAAGGTGATATCCTGTTTTTACAGAGTACCTCCCATTTTTGGTAAAGTGCCATACTAACTTGTCCTCTTGTGGAAGTAGGGGGACTACCATGCTACGAATGATCTCCACTGACTTTTCATTGAACCAGTGCTTTAATCTGGGGGTATGCCAATCTCGTCGATCCTGGTTGATGAAGAAGGACACTCTAGGATTAAAGTTATCCTCATGCCTCCTAAGATTAGGAGGGCCAGGTTTATCTGTTAGTACCCAATTGTCTTTGAAGGCCTCAACACTGGTTCCATCACCTATCTGCCATCGTAGGCCTTGCATCAGAAGTTCTCTCCCATACAGGATACTTCTCCAACCCCATGAAGGATTAGATCCAATAGTGGCTTCTCTAATCGTACTTCCATTGAAGTACCTTCCTTTATATAATCGACTAATGAGCGAGTTAGGATCCGTCCAAATTCGCCAGCATAGTTTGGCTAATAAGGCTTGATTGAAGGCTCTAAAGTCTCTAAAGCCTAGTCCTCCTCTGAATTTACTTTGGGCTAGGCCTTTCCAGGATATCCAATGGATAGGGTGATCAAAGTTAGTGGCCGAGCCCCACCAAAACCTTGCCAAGAGGCTATTCAGACGTTTACAAGTAGCAACTGGGAACTTAAAGCACATCATACCATGAACTGGTATGTTGGTGGCAGAAGTTCTGATTAAAACATCTTTAGCCGCTTTGGACAGGGTACGTTGTTTCCATCCTTGCAGCTTCTTCCCAACCTTTTCCTCGATATAAAGGAATGTGTCCTTTTTGGTTCTTGGAATCAGGGAAGGAAGGCCTAAATAAGAGTCTTGCTCACCTATTGCCCCAACTCCCAACTGAGATCCCCAGCAAATAGCATCTTCACTCTTAGTATTTTTACTAAAAAGTACTGCTGATTTGGAGAGGTTCACCTTTTGACCACTAAGTCTTTCGTAACCTTGGAACAAGGATAATAAATTCGAGCAGGAGTCGCGAGTAGCCTCTACGAACAGGTAGGAATCATCCGCAAAAAAGAGGTGGGAAATCATTGGACAGGACTGGCGTATCCTAATTCCTTCCAGAAAACCTAATGTTACTGCTTGGTTTATCATTGCAGAGAAGCCTTCCGTGCATATGGCAAATAGCAAAGAAGACAGAGGGTCACCTTGACGCAGTCCTCTCGTAGGTCTGAAGTAATCTGAAGGGGATCCATTAACTAGAATGGAATAGGAGACAGTGGTGACACACTCCTGAATCCAGGATATGAACTAGTTTTGGTTACTAGTATTTTATCAAACCATCCATCCCAGTCATACGCTCATAGCACTGAGTATGATCCATATATGACAAGAAACTGCAGATGGATTAAAGGTTGGACAGGCGCATAAGGCATAAGCTCCCTGCATTGTCTAGGAGAAAGAAAGTAAATTACTTCCTTCCCAAGTTATCAGGAACCTAAGCTTGTAATGGTGGTCAAAGTTCATTACTTTCTTGGTGATGAAGTCATTGGTTATATACCCTTTCCTTGTTCGAAGGCAGTTTATAACTAACTGAAAAAGCTGAGTAATGATCTGATAGTTCATCTTTGATGACTTTTCTGGAGCTCTATATAAAGAGTTTTCGATGATACTATAAACTACGAAACTCTATATCGTATTGGTAACTCAATAAAAGATCCTATACACTAAGGAAGCAGTTAGTAACTCTGTAGGCGTAGACATACTTGCCGAACCACATGAATCTCATGTTTTCACTTAGAGTGGAGCTCAAGTTAATGAAAGGCAAAGAAAAAACCAGCTGCAACTCCCCCACTACCATAGCCTTTACGCCATAAATGGAAACTATATAGAAACCACCTACTTCACAAAACACTGCTCCAGATCCCAAACACAGGCAAAAGAAAAGCAGATTTGGAAGGGACAATAAGAAAAGCAACACTCTTTCTCTTTAATATGTCTTCCGGATTATTTTAACTCCAATAGAAGCAAGGAAGTTGATTCACAAAAATGCAAGCTTTATACTTTATTCCTTTCTCAAACACTGCTATAAATTGCAGCCAAAAACCCAGTTTGCATCATCACCATACTCGCTCATTCTTACTATCTCTTCATCAAAACAGCCTTCTTTTCTCTTGCTGATCACCATGGATTTCAGAGGATCACTCCCACCTCAGAAAGCACTCCCTCCTCCAAGCAGGCAGCTAATGAGAGGTGGTGGTGGTGGTGGTTATGGAGAACAACAGCAGCACCGTGGTGGTGGCAACATGATGATGATGAGCGACGACAATGTGATGATGAAGCAGATTGTAGCCACTCATGCACCTGATGGCAGAGAAGTTGATGTCAAGCCTTTGCTGGTCCTTGTGGAAGACATTCTCAACCGTGCAACTCTGCAAGTCGATACTACTCTCTCGGTACAGACTTTCTGAAAATCCCATATTCATTCTGCAGAAAGTATCATTGTTCTTTATCTGTAATGAATTGACATCTGATTTTGGTGGTGGTGTTGTAGCCAATCCAAGCTAAAAATGAGATAGAGGACAAAGCATACCAGATCAATCAAGTTAGCATGCTGGAAGCACTCTCTTACACCATTGATCGAGTTTCGAAAGAGGTCTGCAGTTAGATAATCTCTGCTCAAAGCTTTCACTTCTACTTATATAGTGTTCTTGATTGTGCATGGTTAATGTCACATCTATGGATCAATCCAATTCAGTTGCATATGAAAGTAATTTTGTGATCCAACTTCACATACAAAAAATTTCCAGATTGCATACAAGGCATTAGGAGGAGCAGATGCACACTCAACAACAGTGACCATCTTCGAGACACTAGCAAGCTTCCCATGGGATGCCAAGCTGGTCCTAACCCTGGCAGCTTTTGCACTCCACTACGGAGAGTTCTGGCTCCTTGCACAGATCTACTCATCAAACCAGCTTGCAAAGGCCATGGCCACACTGAGGCAGCTGCCAATGATCATGGAGCATTCCGGCCCACTGAAGCCGAGGTTCGATGCACTCAACAAGCTCATCAAGGCCATGGTGGAAGTGACTAGGTGCATGGTTCAGTTCAAGGAGCTGCCACCTAGTTACATCTCTGAGGATGTGCCAGCTTTGACCCAGGCCATGACCCATATCCCAACTGCTGTTTATTGGACCATCAGGAGTGTTGTGGCTTGTGCTAATCAGATCACTCTTCTCACTACCATGGGACACGAGTAAGTAATGTTTCTAGCACATTGGTTCATTGTTAGTTGAATGGTGTGATCCTAGCGTTATTATGGAGAATACCATTCACGAGGGCTATATAAGTCAGACCATATGGCTTGAATCACTTGTCATTGTGGTTGAGCTAACTACGAATGGGTTTGAAATGGAATTTTTGTGCACTGATCTGGACTTGGTTTTGTAGATATGCACTTTCAACAACTGAGGCATGGGAGCTGTCTTCTCTTGAGCACAAGCTGACCAACATTTGTGACCATTTGAAGCAACAATTGGGAAGTTGCTACCAACACATAGGTTTGGGCCTTTACCTTGAGTACAACAATGCATCAGATGAAAACAGGGAAATAATTCAATTAGATACTAAGAACTAAGAAGTGATTACAACATTCAAGCTAGTTAAAATCGGTGTTCTTGCTTATAGAATTTTACACTTTACGAACGAGTTTCGATCATATGATAAAATTTTATGATCATGAGATTTGATTTCACCTGCATTTTGGATTGTACGTAGTATTTCGATGATAATTTATATCCAACATTGATCATAGATGACAAGAAGAATGTGGAGACATTCAGGATGCTGGTGGAGCTATTTGAAATGACCCACATTGACAACATGAAGATTCTGAAGGCCCTAATTCATGCAAGGGATGACCCCATGCCAATAGTGGATGGTTCTACCAAGAGAAAGGTTTCTTCCACTTTTGGCCTCTGAAATTTTTCTATAGCTAAAAAATGAAACTTTTCAGGAAGGCAATGATACATGGTCTGGAACAGGTTACCCTCGAGGTGCTAAGGAGAAAGAACGTCCTCCTCCTGATCTCAGACCTCAACATCTCCCACGACGAGCTCTCGATCCTCGAGCAGATCTACAACGAGTCGAGGATCCACACGACGAGGCTGGACAGCCAGTACGAGGTGATCTGGATCCCCGTCGTGGACCCATCGATCGTGTGGACCGAGGCGATGCACAAGCAGTTCGAGACCTTGCAGTCGACGATGCCCTGGTACACCGTCAGCCACCCTAGCGTGATCGAGAAGGCGGTGGTTAGGTACATCAGGGAGAAGTGGCACTTCAGGAACAAGGCTATCTTGGTAGTGCTTGATCCACAAGGTAGGGTTGTTTCCCCCAATGCCATCCACATGATGTGGATTTGGGGCAGCAATGCTTTCCCTTTCACCAGCTTGAGGGAGGAGTCTCTTTGGAGGGAAGAGGCATGGAGGCTTGAGCTCTTGGTCAATGGAATTGACCCCATGATCCTCAATTGGGTAAGGAATTGAAAAAAAAAAAAAACATATAAAGAGCCAACTCCAAACCAGAGCTCAAATTTGACATTTCCTCTGTTTTTTCCTCTGTTTTCTCCCCTGTTTCCCAACTCCAAAGCAAAGCTCAAATTTGACATTTCCTCTGTTTTTCTCCCCTGTTTCCAAAAATCCAGATCAAGGACGGCAAGTACATCTTCCTCTACGGCGGAGACGACGTAGAATGGGTCCGAAAATTCACCAACACAGCCCGGGCCGTCGCAGTAGCCTCGCGCATCCCTCTGGAAATGGCCTACGTGGGGAAGAGCACGAAGAAAGAGCTAGTACGCCGCGTCCTCGCCACCATCACCGTGGAGAAGCTGAGCTACTTCTGGCAGGACCCAACCATGATCTGGTTCTTCTGGACACGCCTCGAGAGCATGCTGTTCAGCAAGATCCAGCAGGGCAAGCTCGACGACCATGACCCGATGATGCTGGAGATCAAGAAGCTGCTGAGCTACGACAAGGAAGGAGGGTGGGCCGTTTTGAGCAAAGGGTCGAACATTATATCGAATGGGCACGGCAACACGGTGCTGACGACTCTGGTGGAGTACGATCTGTGGAAGGAAGAGATTCCGGTGAAGGGTTTCGATCTGGCGTACGACGATCATCACAAGAAGGTCCATGGGGTGACTTACCCTTGTTGCAGGTTCGAGTTCCCCAACACTGCAGGGAGGATTCCTGAAGGGATGAAGTGTCCTGAGTGTCATAGGTATATGGAGAAGTACACCACTTTCCTCTGTTGCCATGATGAAGGGCATCCTACTGCCTCGCCGTTTCGAGGGGAGCTGTAGACGACGACATGGCGTTTGAGAAGCGGTGCTTGGAGTAGTACTAAATAAAGAAGGCGGTGGAGGAGAGCCATATATATGGATCATGGATGGATGCTTGCATGCATGCATGGTTTGCATTCATAGAGCTTTTTACTATATTTGTTGCAGTTTTCAAGCGTTTTTTAGTTAATGGTTTGAGTCATGTTGTAACTTTCCAATGGCGGTTCATGTCATGGAATTGATTAATGAATAAAAGTAATATCTATATCCATGGTAAATACTGGTTTACTTTAGTATACTCCAGGTGATCTGACTATTAGATGTGATTTGATGAGCTCCGACAAATTTCAATGGTCAATTATTGTTTTCCATCAAATTGAACTTCGGACTTGAGTTGAGAGAATCAAGGCCTGGCGTCTATTCATTACAGGTCAGGGTATAGTATCATACCCCAAACTCGGTTAAATTCATGGTCTAGATGGAGATGTCTCACTAGGAGTACCTGGAGTATAGTATACTCCAGGAGTACACCAGTCTGACCCCTATATCTCTATATAATATCAAGGTTCAAGAAGGCGTTGAGCCACTGTTAGGCAATACCTACGCGTTTTAGCAAAAGTAGCGGGCTTTAGTAGAAGTACAAATTTTATAGCACGTTTTTACTTTAGTTCAATTTCAAATGTTAATAACTTAGATAACTCTCAATATTAACCAAAGTAAGTCATGACCTAGAATTGAAATTTCAAATCGAGGAATGAGTGAAGGATGCATTGAATATAGGGCAGCTAGGAATGACGTCGTTTTAGGAAGATTAGGAAGATTTGCTACAATTCTTTTAATCCATGATCTACTTGTGCAATTAAGCATTACTCACTTAGATTAATCATGTCTTACATCGAATAATCATGCCTATTTTTGCTTGCGCGTCACTTAGGCGTTATGAACGCCTAATTGTCCGCCGAGGACCTAAACGAGGCGTTTTATCACTACCCAGTGCCTAGGCGTGACATTACAAAAGACTTATAATTGACTGGGGGAAGAACTTATGGCTACGAAAGACTTGTAATATGTTATGATCCATTAATACATAATGAATAATTGTCCCTCTATAAGCTTTTACGTATGAGTTTTTAATTAATGTAATTGCTATAGAAAGGTGTTTCATATGATCTCAATCATCAATGATTTATTTTAAATACATTATTTTTTGATGAATGATTTGTGTATTAATAAAATAAGGTAGCTCACAAATTACGAGCTATTACAATTGTTTCACGGTTGCTGCAACATAATACGAAGTACCTATTACATCAACATTGAAAGAGAATTACAACAAAGATGTAGACAAGATTTAGGTTGAGATGTGAGACACATTAAGATGGATGATCATGGAGGATGAAAAGGGTTGGTTGCTCTACCGAGCAAAAATTGATTGAGTGTGTACTTCTTGTCGATCTAGAAGAGCCTTGGCAAGACTCTAATTGATGCAATTGTTCACCACTCTGTGCATTATCTTGTCCCATATGTACATCTCTTATCTCTGAAAGTTCTGGATTTTCGCTCTAACCAAATGTTCCAAAAGATGGCATGAGGCAGTAATCTAACACATTGGAAATGTGTTACTCCCCGGGTGAAGTGGCTCAGCTGTATGGGATCGGTCCTTTGACGTTGAGTCTGAAGAAGAAATAGTCCCATATACTTCTTGAGAAGTTGTAATGAAGTAGTAAATGACCAATGCTTTCAGCTGCTTGCTGGCATAAGCAAGATCTGTTGGGTATTTGCCAATCTCTCTTCTGTAATTGGTCTTGAGTGAGGATTTTCTCTTGATAAACCAACCAAGAAAATGCACAAATTTTGCTTGGGACAACAGGGATCCATATTGAAGTAGAAGGAAAGGATGATCCAAATCCTTTAAATTTATGACTAAAAAGCTTGGTGTAGCAGCTACACACCTGAAAATTTCCCCCGGGCAGCAATGGAAGTAGTTTATATTGACTACCTGAGAACCATGAGATGGGAATGCTACATAATTTGACAAGGTGTCAAAATTTAAACTCAGGGGCTTGCTTTTATTTGAGTGATCGCATAAGAATTTTTAATCTCTCTAAATTCTGAAGTTTGAATGAAAATGATTCACAATGGATTTGAGCCGCTGAGATCTTCAAAAAATAAATTTCTATCATTTCCTTACACACTTGCATAAAACAAAACTCACCACATGAGAAATGTTTGCATGTTCATTTACCGAGTTTATCACATTGTAAATACATAACAATTTTTAATATTTTTATTAGTAAAATAATTAATCAGAATAACTCAGAACATCGTGAAAATGCTCAAGAATTGTCCTTAGCTACGATGGAGTTAAGGTTTAGACGTAAGTGTTAGGAAATGGCATATGATTTATAGAATTTGTCTTAATAATTTAATTTATTGAACCAACTGGTTTTTAATATGATATCAAAATCTTCCGTGGTCGAGATGTCTCCTGCTTGAATCTCGATGACCCCAGATCTATTATGTCAGTGTGTAAACCTCAAGCCCATACGAGTCGACTTTCATTTTAGAGAGGTATGTTAGTAAATATGATCCATGATTAACAATATAATTTTTTATTGATTAAAAGAAAGAAAAGGAAAATTGGAAACAATTTCAATAACTGCGATAACCGGGCGTCCAGGACAGGAAGCATGAAACAACAACAGCAGCAGCAACAACAAAACAAGAAGAGGAAGAAACATAACAGACGTACATACAGAAAAGCAAATGAATTGAAGCAGCAGAGAGCTTAGCTAGCACTGCGATTTGTGAACCATGAGCACAAGCTAGCTAGGGCATTATTCGAACATTTAATGGTTTCTTCAAAGGGGCACAGGATCGATGAGCATTGAGGTGAGGTGATCCTTCACGAGGTGGGAGTTGGTGTAGCCATCACCATTTTCATAGAACAAGTTGAAGGAACGCGCCAAATTGAGGAGACGATCTGTAAGAGCTACCGGCAATGGAGTTGGTTTCTGATACTCTTCGGCGATGTCTTTCCAGGCGTTGTGAATCTTCTTCCACAGGAATTCAACCGCTTCTTCCTCCGTCGCTCCATATTGCTTCATGTAGCATTCGACGGCCGAAGCAGGATGACTTCTGTTTTGCTCACACTGCATGTGCAAAACCACAATAGTAGTTACTATTTACTAGCTAGCTAGTAGCTATGAGATGCACTCCGGTACTTCGGTAATTTGTTTGTGAAGTTCATGAAACTATATACAAGATGTAAATAATTAATGATTTACCTCGTGAGAGAAAATGTCATTTTGAAGCCTACCAATCACAGAGCAAGCTTTCATCAGCTTGGATTCGTTAGTCACCCATTCAAAAGCCTCCCTGGTGGCTATTTCTGCTCCCATGCCAATGAAATTCGAGGTGGCCGTTATGGGCATAGCGCAGCTGATGTGTGCGGTGATCATGTACTCTTCCAGTGTTGGAACCTTGCTTTCAGCGCGCCACCGAATCTCAAGTAAGTAGGCTCGGCACAATTTCTTGAGCTACCACATGCACAAAAAAAAGGCACTATACTTTAATGGTAATGGTATTATACTTTAATGGTAAACTCCGGATTGGATTTCTAAGGTCGATTTAATAATAAACAAATAAAAATTGGTGTTCTGATCCGTCGATATACACCAAATCGTAACTCTGCGTATACTATATGCGTGCGGCACATATATGCTAGCTTATTTATTAGTGTATTACCTCGCCCTTTGCATAATCGACGGGGAAAGTGGGTCCCGATTTTCCAATTTCACTCTCGACTTCATCATACAGATCAAGGATGAGACGATAAGTTTTCTTCATCCTATCGGGTAGTTCTTGAAGAGCCCTAACATTCATCCTGAAAGAAATATGTATGTACATACAAATTAAACACTATCAATATATATATTATTAAGAAAAAAAGCAAGCTCCATTATGTCTAATTAATCAATCGAATACACACATTATATGTAAGATTTATGCGGTAATTAGAACCTTTCAATAGCTTCCGATAGGGCCTGAAGCTCTTCATATGTAGCAAAGTTATCACACGTGTCATCTAAGATTGACAACGTACGATATATCTTGGTGTTTATAATTCTTGCCAATCGATATTTAGGCTCAAAGTAAACGCAAACATTCCAGTAATAACTCTCTACAAGCCTTTCTCTTGCAAATGGAAAGTTGGTCGCCAAATCAAAACTTCTCCACCAACTGTATGCATAGATGACAAAATCAAAGCAAACAAGCCATTAAGGTGATTAGTAGTATTCCGTAATATAATATTAGCTAGTCCGCTAACACTCTAACTAACTCACCCAGAGATTTCATAGAGCTCCTGCTGATGCAAGTTCTGGACCATGTTGAAATCCATCTTTGCAAACATGAGAAGCTTTTGATTCTGCGAAGTATCCTCGGAATAAAAATCTATGGAGTGCCTGGCAAGTGATCTTGGAACACATTTCCAAGCAGGAAAGCGGAGAGCAAAGTCGATTTGCTTTTGGAATGAATTAGGGTTGGTATTGTGTTGGATGATGGATGGCGACTTAAGGTTCTTGGTCGCAAAGATTAGGGCTTCATCCAATATATCTTCTCCATTGAATGCCAAGTGTGCTGCCTCGTACAAGCTCAACAGTCCTTGCCTATCCCTTGACACCCATTCCTTGAACCTCCCTTCACTATTCTTCAACTTTCTAAACGCATCTACTCGTACGTGCTTGTGTGTGTACATAAAACAAAGAATCATGAGAATCCGTGATCAATGTATATATAAGAGAGACCTTAACGAACTAGCTAGCTGGTTATCAAGTACAACTAATAAATCAATATATATATATATATATATATACACACGTACCCTGCGAAGCAGGAAATCCTTGTTGTCTGAGGAGTCGAAACCGAAGAGCTGCATGGTGGAGATCCTTGCCTTTGTCATCGATGTTGGTGAATAAGCCTTCCCCCATATCATGTACTTTTTCAAGTGCTTTTTCAATCTCTGGCTCAAAATGATACCCAATACCTAATCGTTGAACTGCATCTACCAGCCGCAGCTTGTCGGCAATTATTGCCTCTTCATCTCCAGTACTTTTTACTTCATTTGTCAACATCTTCCTCACTTCTTCTTTCAGGACTTCATGGTTTGGGTATCTGTCTTTCGCCTGAGAATTAGTGGATTTAAAATTATTTTTGGGTCTAAATTGTTTGTTATTCTTGATAAATTATCTCACAAGTTATTCAAAGTAAAAAAACAACATGCATGGGTGGAGATCTGTGCGCACATATAGTAAGTAGACTTTTGTGTATAAATTTTATCATCATAAGATATTAACTATAAAAAATAGATAATTATAATAGTAAATAATTAAGAACTTTAAACTATCGGCCAATGGCTGGTTACAAAGCTAGTATAGTGAGTAGACTTTTGTTTATATTTCAAGCTCATTAGCCGTCTGTGACTGTTTATCACTAAATCTCACATTCTTACTACATCGATTACATATGAGAGATTATGATTTTATAAGGTCAACCTAATTTTAATAATTAAAAACAATTAAGATGAGGCATATGGTAAGAAAACCCCCACCACCATGGTATAGTTGAGGGGGGAGGGGAGTCATCATCATACCACCCCCATAAGGTCAGGTGTGGAGCTAGCTCCTTATTAGGGGTGCAATGGCACACCCTTGATTTGGATAACCACAAAAAAAAAAAAAAAATAGTAGTACTAATAATGAACAATGAACCCAAAATCTTATTGTTAATTCGCAAATTTTTAGTATCCAGCCACGATTGATTATATAAATTAATTTAAACTACTAATATCTGCATTAATACAGTTTAATAAAATGGTTATGACGTGTGGATTATTATAGAAAATCAATAATTTTGTACGATAACTATCGTCGGAAGAGAAAATTGGTTTCTATCAATGTATTTGCTTCTGAAATTAGGTTTAATTTGCTACTACCTATTGTCAATACACATATTAGTAGACTATTTTCTGCAATGAAATACTCGACCAGTCTAATAGAATGAAAGAAAATTGTGAATGGTGATATGGTGAAATAACATTAAGAGCAAACTTAATAATTTGAATAATTTTGTAGTTTTAAAATAATTTGGTAATATGAAACATGAAACTTTATAATGGATTATTGTCAAAAATTATTTTATGTTATATTTTTAATGCACCCCCTTGAATGAAATTCTGGCTACGCCAGTGCATGAGGTGATCACCCTCTAGTATGATCAGGGGGTGGTGATCGGCATACGCCTCCGTTGGTGTAGTCAGGGCATGATCGGAGCAGTCGAGAGGGTAATCGTCACTCTATGTCAGTGAAGCAGTTTCTCGACGCAGTTACTTCTGGTGTCTGTAAAATAGGAGGTGAAGATGACAGAGAGGTTCGCAAAAATCACAACTCGACAGTCGACACCACTTGTCATAATTTTGGAGGTTTGACTGAACCTCAATAAGAGTAGGTATAATTTAATGTAGATCTATCTCGTAGTTCATCTAAACATTGAACACACTTTTTTGAGCTTTGTGCAAAAAGATGTGAACTGCGTTTATTTTATCGTTGTTCAAGAAGTTAAGGTGCTATTTCTAACTTTAATTTTCTCCGGAAAAGTAGGGACTCTTTCCTGCAACATGATCAATATTATTAGGAAATAACATACAACAAAAACAACTACTAATAAAACCCATATAACTTAATTAACCTGGAAAGACATATCAATTTTGTCGAGGAAGCCATCGCCCCAGACTGTGCCAGGAAAGCTTACTGACGAGACACAATCCGCCGCTGCGCCGGAGGTTGCCTTCTTCTGATGGGCCGCTGCCGCCGCAGCAGCTGACTGATGAAGTGGTAGTGATGATGAAGAAGACATAATAAGATTAGTAATGGTAGCAGTAGCAGTAATAATGATAATGATAATGGTAATATGAATGGGCTGTTATAGTTTCGACTCCATCTATATATAGCAAAGGCTAGGGTTTGAAAGCAAGACCCCAGCGGCTACCACTCACATAGCCACATATGATATAAGTATTTAAGAAAAGCTAGCCCACCAATCGGACAGATCACTTGGTTCCTGCATGCACGTAATACATTAATGAGATAATTAATTACGTATATGAGGCAATATTTAATCAAATTTACCATTTCTTTACAGTAGCAGTAGAGGTAGAAAACTTATGTCGGCCTACCATTCAATTAATTAACCAAATACAGTTGATATGGATGCTTAATAATACAACCGGATACGTACAAAAGGTATCAAACTACATGCTCTCCATTTTATGCTATATTTGTTTTTACTATACGCAAGATTTGACAAGTTGGAGAGTGGTTATGGTGAATACTCTATAGTAAGAGTCACCATTACTACTAAGTGCAAATTGGGTATTAAAAATATTATTTATTAATTATTTTTTGGTAAATTATATTTTATGAAAAATACAAAAAAAATATTAATTAAAATTCTAACTCTTTCTCTCACTTTGCAGATCTCTCGTCACCACTCACTTTTTTTTCTCAATCTTTTCCTTATTTTCGTTTAATTTGATTAATAACACTACAAAAGTAAAATAAGAAGTCAATATCAATCCATTAAACAAATACTACCACTTCAAATAAAAAAAACATTCAACACCATTATAGAAATAAAACAAGAAATCATTACCAAAACACAAAAACATGCTACCACTGCACTCTACACAAAATCACTAGCTACCACTACCATAGGTCCATAGCATATATTATTTATTAACCAATATCATTGCAGATTTATAACCAATACCAATACATGAACAGTATGATAATATTAATACAAAAAAGCAATACAATTACATTATAATCAATACCAATGCGAAAAAAATAATACAACTAAAATTAATACCAATACGAAAAAATACATATATCCCAATAAAAAAAAGCAATACCATTACATTATAATTGATACCACTCTCTCGATAAGACTTTCCGAAAATCCACAATCATGATCATGAATAAACTTTCAATGTTCGTTATGAGTAACTATTTGAGTTCTGGTTTTTGGTGATCATTATGTGCAGCCAATGCAAGCTAAGAATGAGATAGAGGACGAGGCATACCGGATCAATCAAGTCAGCATGCTGGAAGCGATCTCTTACACCATTGAATCGAGTTTCTAAAGACGTTCTATGATCAAAGATTTCACTCCTACTTATATAGTGTTCTAATAAGGACGGGTAGCATGACGTTAACGAGAGAAAGTATGTTCTCGTGAAAGAAAGTTATTATGGTCATTTTTTTTCGATTTAATTTTAAATATCATTTGAATTCACAAACTTACGAATTTATATATATATGAATTCATAAGTTCAATTCATCGTATACTTCGTCCCAATCTCTTTCTCCAATCTGTAGAAACTCTTTCAGTCCTCACTTGTTGACTGAGAAAGGAGACAGGTAGCGAAGTCTAACTAACCAGCCCATTAATGGCCAAGAACACACTACAAGAAAAATGGACTATAGAGACGATGAAAATGTGTCTCTATTGAATACTCATTTGTCTCTATACTTCTTAAGATGCATATACCATATTTGTCTCCTCTAGAGCAGTTGCAATAGCCTTATAGAGACAAATATTATTTGTTACTGATTGGGAAAACTACATCTAATATTTTAGTCTCCAAAGACTTTTTTAGAGACGATTATTTAGTCTCTATATGCACATTTAAAGATATAAATATTTGTCTCCAATTTCACCTTTAGAGACATATTCTTTTGTTTATATATTAGATTTTCCCGACATAAATATTTGTCACCAATTTGACTTTTAGAGTCAATTTGTTTTGTTCTTAATCTTAGTCATTCGAGACTATTATATTTGTCTCAAAAAATTTCTTAAGCATAATCGACTACAACTTATTTACTTACCAATTCAATTCTAATTGAAATTAAAAACATAACCGTATATTTTGTCAATTTCATTACTATTAGTACAAACAAAATAAATCTATGAAATCCACCATTTTTTTCCTTTTATTGAAGCCAATCAATTTTGGTGCTTACATCAGAAATGTTTCTAAATGGATAAAAACTATAGTACAATGATAATCAACAAAATTATGAATTTGAACAACACAATAACTTTATAAACGCCCCTTAGTTGTGCCTTCAGGTTCCTTTCCCCAATCACTATCACCATTATCAACATAATGCACAATTGACTCCCCGTCACTAGCCTTGAAAACTTTATGCTAATTGTGTAATCTTTCACCAGCTCCATTATACAGTTGACTCCTGCAAGTACAGGGTATGGGTAAATTTGGCTTTTGAGAACAAGAAATTGAGAAATACCCACCTATAAAAACTAATCACAATACCCCAAAAATACGCATATAAAGGTAAAAACCCTCACAAGTCGAGGAATTTTTTTTGATAAAGATGATGAATGCATTAGAACAAAAGGAAGGAGTCTGTACACGAAAAAAGGAAATAGCAGCACAAGATGTGCTGCGAAAAGACAAACCCAGAAGAACGATAAGAACGAAGAACAAAGAAAACAAAAAGGGGGGGCTTGGCGAACCAGAACGCCCCTGCACACCCTAAACGAAAAAACACACAAAGAAGCTAGAAACTGCTCACAAGCCAGCGCCAGGAAACGACCTACGACATAGTACTGAAACAAAAGGAGCGGGACAGAACAGGCAAGTCAGCTAGCTTATAAAGCGGCGGCCTTGTGAACAGACGCCTCTGTTCGAATGAAGAGGGTTGCTGATCCTCTCGTTCAGCCACTGTCGTGCCTCTTCCTTGGTGATTTTGCCCATTACAACCGGCCATTCGATCATGGACTTAAAAGCTCTTCTGGCGACGGTTGTTACTTCCTGTCTCGAATCTTGAAAAGTTCGTCTGTTTCTTTCGAGCCATATCTGCCAGCAGACGGCGTGAAGAGCGCCGTAATTGATCCATTCGTCTGTGTTGTTAGGGGAACTTGATTGCCACTCACTGACTGTGGAGGTGAGGTCTGCATTGGTGTTGTCAATTCTCGGGCATGCCTCTCTGCATCGACGCCAGACTTCTTTCGCAAAATCACAATGAATGAAAATATGGTCGGCCTTTTCTTCATCCTTCTCGCAGAGTGTGCATCTGTTGGCGATGGACCATCCTTTCTTCTTAAGAATATCGAGAGTTTGAATCTTCTTCAACGTGGCCAGCCATATGAATATGCATATTTTGCTCGGGATGATGGTTTTCCAGATTGACTTGGCTGGGAAGTTGTGGATGCCTGGGAATCTGCTTTTCATGAGGGTCCTGTACATGGAATGAACAGAAAAAGAGTTCTCTGGATCGGGTAACCAAACAAGGCGACTAGGCCCGCTTGATACCCTAGTAATAGCATGTTGATTAAGAAAATCCAAAAGATTAGAGAGTTCACGCTCAGCTCCTCCTCTCAAAGCAAACTTTAAAGATATTTCCCACTTCGTACCTTCGCTGTTGCGTGTGAGGACGTCGCAAATACGGGCGTTGGGATCGGATGAAGCGGCGGCGACCCTCGGGTAGTTTGCTGCAAGCGAGGTTTCCGGGTTCCAAACGTCGTGCCAGAAAGAGCTCCAAGCTCCACAACCCGGATCAATGCAGGTCATTTTCCAGAAACTATCGAACTCTTTCATTATATTAGCCCAAGCTGAGTTGGTGAAGCCGCTGTTGCACTTTCCAGAATGCCATTGAGAGTGGGGATCTGGGTATTTTTGGCCGATAAGCTTCCTCCACCATTTGTCAGTCTCCGTAGCAAACCTCCAATGCCATTTACCCAACATTGCGCTGTTGAAACATGCCAGATCAGTGATTCCCAACCCACCCTTGGATCGAGGTGCCTTGCACAAGTCCCAGCTAACCAGAGGGGTTTTGTAGTGTTCCGCTGTCCCGCTCCAAATGAATCTCCGTTGGATGCTCTCCATTCTCTTAATAATTGTTTTTGGAGCCTTCAGCAGAGAGAAAAGGTAGACAGCTTGGCTAGATAGGACTGACTTGTTGAGAATGACTCTTCCCCCGATTGAGAGAAATCTGCTTTTCCAACCTTCTAGCCTTTTCTGATATTTGTCGATGATGGAATCCCAAGTAGAGACAGCGTTGAGTTTGGCTCCAAGCGGGAACCCCAGATACTTGGAGGGTTCTGTACTCCATCTGCATCCAAACAAATTAGCAAAGAACTCTGGATTGGGAACGTCTCCGACGGTATACATGACTGTTTTGTCAAGGTTAATATTGAGCCCTGTAACCGCTTGGAAGCAAACGAGTGTGGCGATGATGTTTAGAACCTGGTCATATGCAGCTTCGCAGAAAACGAGAGTGTCGTCTGCGAATAGGAGGTGTGTGACTTCACCCCTATCCTCGCCTTCAGTCATGGAGAAACCCTTGATCTTGCCGGCTTCTTTAACTTTGGACAACATAAAATCCAGAATGTCCATGACAAGTACAAAGAGGCCGGAGGACAGTGGGTCGCCTTGTCGGAGGCCTTTTTGCATAGGGAAGAAACCTTTGGATTCGCCATTGATGAGGATGGACACCGTAGGAGAGCACATTGTACCTTTAATCCAGTTTAGCCATTTTGCAGGGAAGCCTGCATTCGAGAGAGCCTTAAACAGACATCCCCAGTTCACGTTGTCGAAGGCTTTCTCGATGTCGAGCTTAAACATGAGCCCAGGTTTTTTACTTCTCTTTCTGCTGTCGACAAGTTCGAAGGCGATCAACCCGGCGTCTGCTATTTGTCGAGGAATTACCATGTTAATCTGTATTTCTCTGATGAGTACAACTTTAAAAATAGGATAATGCCTAGAGATGCAATTAGTTTTCCATATATAAGCACCTTCACCTGTAGAATGAACCAACAAAACATAACCCCACACTCAATAGAAAAGCAACAGCCAATTGAAACCAGACAACCCACAAACCCAAACTCAAGTGGAAACGTTGATGGATAAAATATATCTGAAAGTATTTGAGACGTGGGAATCTTAGGGGAAGGTGTATTAATTGCATGATGAAAAAAGAGATCAACAACAGGATGATATACAACAAAAGGGGTTAGAGCAAGCAATTAAAAAGGATACAATTACCTTTTTCAATTGCATCATAATCTTACACAGTTGAGGAGAAAGTTATAGATGGATCCTGTTGGAGATGAAGATGAGGTCACATATATGGAATTTCGTGATTTGAATGGGGGAACTGCTGCATCAGACCGAGCTCAGAATGGGGGAACTGCTGCATCATATGAAATCTCTTCTTTCCCATTATGTGCGCCTTCGGTGAGAGAATGTAGTGAGGGCACCCCATTCCTTGTATAGCAATTGACATAATATGATAGAGAGAAACAGGGCTACGATGGAGAAGAAGGCAGGATGAGATGGAGACATGGAGTCGGCCGGGGAAATTTAGAGATCACTGCTAGGGTTTTGAAATGGGATGCATCCTTATTTGCGAATTTTATTTTTAATTTCCTTTTATTATTTCTCTTATTATTCCGTCGAAAACTCCAAATAGAGATTGCATAAGCCTATAGCGACAGTTAAATATATCCCCAATGAAATCATTATAAATTTGTCTTGAAAACTAACCATATATCTAAACTAAAATAAAATATTAAGAAATTAATAATAGTATCAAATCTTAAAATAATAGCTATATAGACACATATCATATCTGTCAAGTATACGATACTTCTAGAGACAGATATTAATACTTTTAGAGACATTTTATAAAATTGTCAAGTATTTGATATTTTTAGAGACATATGATGCATTTGTTGCAATATTTTAGTCGCAATAGACGAGTTTTCTTGTAGTGACACCTAGTTGTCTTTGTTTTCTACCTTGATTTGATGTAGAACATTTTGTTTCTTCTTGATAATTTGTTGCTTACTTTTACCTTTTGTGTTTAGGTATTCCCAATAGAATCGAATCTGGGACCTCCAGATTCAATGTTAGTGATATTAAACACAAAGGACTTCAACTTTTATTATGAGACAATTTTCGTAAGAGGGCATTTCGAATTTTAGAGTTTTTGGTATACTTTCAGGTCAAATTTTCAACTTTGAGCATATATTCTGAAATTTATCCCTAATAAAAGTTTTAGTACTTAAAAAGTTATGCAATCTCAATCGGATAATCAAGAGCAAAGTTATTGCAATTTGAAACCCTAAAGGATATAAATCACTAGAGACCCCAACGATCTATGACAAGAACGTTGAGTTCCATAACGATCTTGCCAAATCGCTTAGAATTTCAGTGATTTTCCATTGATTGTGAGACCTCAACGGTTTACACCAAACTTAGGTAGACTAGAAAATTTTAGTAAGTGGCAGAGTGGTATTATGCAATTTTTTTAGTAAATAATGAGGTAGTTTAGGAAAAAATAAGATTGGAGGAAACAGATAGGCCCGAGACAAATAAAAAACCAACATACTGAATTTATAGATCTCTATGAAAAGAAAACTAGTCAATGTGTGACCACGTAAACATTCAACAATTCAACATTCCAATGACTCAACCATCCAATCCTTTCTTGAAATAATGTACGTCATTCAGATTGGGATTCAAAAAAAGGAAAGAAGTGCCTGATCTTGGGCTGCGAATTGGACAAATAGTTGAGTCAAGACAACGTTAACTTATTTGGGTATTTGGGTTGCTACTGGCAGCACACCAGGTTGGACTTGCATTGCATTTGCATGCGGTGTGACCATTTAATTTATTTCCCTTCCTCCATTTTTTGGACAAAACATGTCCATTATGAACAAGAACAAATCAATACTTCCTTCTCTTTATGGAATTCGTTGACTGACCAAATTATAAATAACTATAAACAAAAAAATTGAATGGCAGAGATGGATTCAGTTAGGATGATATTATCCCAATAATAATAATAATAATAATAATAATAATAACAATAATCATAATAATATACACTAAGAAGTTCACCATACACTCAGACAACGTAATATTTATATAGCTAGCCGTAGGATCTTTCAGAGTCTAAGATATAAACAAAATCCCTCCGACTAAAGCCGTTCCCGCAACCAACCCTGCCGGAGAAAATGGAGCTCTTCCTCCTCATTTGCCTACTCTGCCTCTTCTTCACCATCACCATCCTCCGCTTCCTGCTGCCAACAAAACCTCCGGCGGCGGCGGGCAAACTCCCGCCGGGCCCCACCCGGCTGCCAATCATCGGCAACATCCACAACCTAGGCGCCAAGCCTCACAGATCCCTAGCCGATCTTGCCAAGAAACACGGGCCGTTGATGAGCATCAAGCTGGGCAGAATCACCACCATCGTCGCTTCTTCCCCAGCCGTGGCCAGGGAGATCCTCCAAAAGCACGACAACGTCCTCTCCCACCGCCACACCGGCCTCGCCATGGAAGTCCTCGACCTCCACAAATTCGCCATGCCGTTTCTCCCCCCGCATTCCAAGTGGAGGAACCTCAGGAAAGTGTGCAACTCCTATCTCTTCACCCCTCAGAAGCTCGACTCGTATCAGGAGCTCCGGAGGGAGAAGGTTCTCGAGTTGTTGGAAGATGTCCGACAGACTGCCTCCCAGAGGCCTGGAGAGGCGGTTGACGTCCGCAGGGCGGTGTTCATGGCGACTCTGAACTCTTTGTCGTCCACCATTCTTTCGTTTAATCTAGGGGATGTGGAGAGGTCAGAGACTGCCAGGAAGTTTCAGGAGGATGTGAGTGGGATCCTGGAGGAAGCAGGGAAGCCCAACTTGGGAGACTACTTCCCTGTGCTGGCGAGTATGGATTTGCAGGGGATACAGAGGCGGATGAAGGGACATTTGGAGAATGTTCTCAACTTGTTTCAATGGGTCATCGACGAACGGGTGAGGAAGATCAAGTCCGATGAGCAGTACGTCTCGCCAAACGACATGCTCGACACGCTTCTGGCTATTGGAGACGACGACAATCGTGAGGGGGCTGCCGCCATGGATCCACTTTCCATCAAGCACTTGTTGTTTGTGAGTAGGTTTGATTAACCCTAAAGGCTGCTCGCTTAATTAGATCGAGGATCAATGGTTGATTAATTCTCTTTTTTTCGCTTATTTCATTTCTATATTCGCTGATCTTGGTTTGGCCCGTCAGGATCTGTTTGTAGCAGGTACGGATACAACTTCAAGCTCACTAGAATGGGCAATGACGGAACTCCTCCGCCATCCAGACAAACTCGCCAAAGCAAGGGAAGAACTAGATAAAAACATTGGAAAAGGAAATCATTTATGTGAATCAGACATCACTCGATTACCATATCTACAAGCAATAGTGAAAGAGACCTTAAGGTTACGCCCAGTAGGTTCCCTGTTAATTCCCCGCAAAGCGAGTGAAGATGTGGAAATATGTGGCTTCATCGTGCCCAAAGGTGCACAAATTCTGGTCAATGTATGGGCTATAAGTCGGGATCCGATGGCATGGGACAATCCAAACTCATTCGCGCCGGAAAGGTTCTTGGGTTCGACAATCGATGTTAGGGTGAATGATTTTGAGCTGCTTCCATTTGGTGGCGGAAGAAGGGTATGTCCTGGAATGTCGTTGGGATTGAGAATGTTGCATATGATGTTGGGTTCATTGATTCACTGGTTCAAATGGAAACTGCCATATGGGGTCGCGCCAGAGAAGCTAGATATGGAAGAGCAGCTTGGGATGGCTTTGCATAAGTTCAAACCATTGTTTGCTGTTCCGAGCCCCCGATAATATCTTATAAAAAGGATTAAAACTGTACTCGAAATCTATGGTTGTTGTAATCGTGTCAAATTTCTTCCTGAGAATGAGAACGAAGTCATAAACTGCAAATGGATCCGGAAAAGCTTTACTCTTCCTCTTCATGCATCTCTTTGCCCACTCCTCGATCGTAGTACGTACCTAGCTACCCGGCCCCTTCCTTGTTCCCATCTCGAGTGTCATATATATATAGTTTTTGCATGTATGCATGGCTACATGAATGAATCATCATGATGAATCTTTCCATTTTTCGTAGATGACATCAAACCGTTTGAGTTTGATTGAGTTACATATGATGCATGTTTTGTTACAAATAATAATCATACGCCAATATTTTCCCCTTCAAATAGGAGGGGATTTAGTGACGAGAATTCAATGTCTTTATGGATTAGATTGGTGGATTTGATTTATGGATTAAAGTGATATCGCTATACTGAACCATTATGTAAATTTGAAAAGTTTAGGTACTAGAATATAATTATAAAAACTTTAGGTATCAAAAAGTAAATTTAAAAGATAATTTTGATAAAAAGTTTTTAGGTTACAAATGTGAAATATAAAAAAATCGGTACTAAACTATAATTTCCCCAAATATTGTCTTTCTATAAATATAATTTTTTATTGCAAAAGTCATGAATCCACTAATACAATTTTTTTTATGAAGGTGATAAATGCATTAAAGGAAAAAAGAAAAGAGTTTGTACAAAGGGGACATGGTACTAGCACAAGAGTTGCCAGTGACCAGAAGAGAACGACTAGAAAAAGGAAAAAGGAGAAAAGCAAGTCGAGAGGCTTCTTCTCAACCCAGGCAAGAGGAAGCTAAAGTCGCTAGCTTAAAAGGAAAACAAAAACAGCAAGTACAGCCGCGGCAGGCAAGACCGAGATGAAAACAGAAGAACGAAAATTGCCCGGGTGCTATCTAGGAACGCAACAATTGTTCCGCCCCAACTGAAAATAACATCGCAGGAAAGCTTGGAAACAATCTGTCGAAAAAACTCTTCAAGGGCAAGCAGGACAGACAGCACCTGCCCACCTGAAATAACAATTGGAAACAACACGCCGATTCCGGAGGGAGGATCATGATGGGCAAAAAAGCTGTTGAAGTTTATTCTGCAATCACTGAGAAGCCTGCATTTGGTCAGCTTTACCATGAGCGACTAACCATCCCGTACCCATTTTGAGAGTTTTCAAAGCCGTTCCTTCAGCACTCATCATAAAATTATTGAAAATCCTTTGATTACGTTCCAGCCAGATAGACCACGATATTGCGTGCAGAGCAACATATTTGAACCATGTTTCTACGCTATCAGGACTAGCTGTCGGCCACATTCTGATAATATTGTTGAGATCATAATTGGATGGGAAGACGATAGACCTGCAAGCTTCTCAATCAATTTCCAAACCTGTTCGGAAAAGGGGCAGTTCACGAACAGATGTTGAGCCGATTCTTCGTTTTTGCGACATAGTTTACACCGATTTGCTAAATTCCATCCTTTCCTCTGAAGCATATCAAGGGTCAGCGTCTTCTTGTGGGCGAGGATCCAAAGAAAGAAACAGATTTTCGGTGGTACACAATTTCTCCAAACTATCTACAATGGAAAGTCAGGCGCATGCACCTGGAAACCTGTTAGCTGCAAGAACTCGGTACATCGAGTTAACGGTAAACCCTGCTTCCGGGTTGGGCTGCCAAACAATTCTACATGGACTGTTAGCTTTATTGATAATGTCATAAGAATTAAGAAGCTCGATTAACCCCTCTCTCTCCCTTTCAGCTCCCCCTCTCAATTAACAGAAAGATTAATATTCCATATTGTAGGATTACCTGAGTAGTCGGCGATGTCTCGGATCCTAGCTTCCGAGCTTGAGGCAACAGCAGCGACACGGGGGAAAGAAGTAGAGCAGTCCGGAATCCAACGGTCCCGCCAGAAAGAAACATGAGCGCCTCCACCTAGGACGATGAAAGGTATGATTTCAGAACTGATCATTTTCTCGTGTAATATTAGCCCAAACAGAACTTGAGTTGCATCCTGTGATGCTGCCAGTGTGCCATTGGGAACCTTGATTCTTATATTTGATGTCGATGAGGAATCTCCACCAACTATTTCTATCGGTTGCAAATTTCCACAACCATTTTGAGAGCAGCGCGCTATTAAAAGAAGCGAGGTCAGAAATTCCCAGACATCCGTTATCCCTTGACGCTTTGCAAGTCTTCCAATCGACAAGGAAGAATTTCCTTTTGTCACCTGTTCCACTCCACAAGAAGTTCCTTTGGATATGGATTAAATGAATTGAATTTAAATGATTAAATTAATTGGATTTTAATGGATGAATTAAATTGATGAATTAGATTCAAATTACCACCTCAATATGAAATTTCAGTCGATTGTCAAAATAAGAAAAAAATATGACGAAGGTCCACACCTAGAGAAATTATGGCCCACCTCCATCTCCAAATAAAGCAATTTGTTGACCCAAATGGGACATTTTGTGATTTTGCTAAACTTTGAACTGTCATAATTTTGTCTATTGATATCCGATCGTGGCAAACTTTTATTAGATTTTGCATGACTTTTCAAATACAACGTAACTAGAAAATTTTGACAAGAGAGTATTTCTCCGGACTTTAGGGCTTTTTAGTATATCAGGTCTAATTTTTAATTATGTGCATATATTCTGAAAAATCGTCACAATGACAAATGTGCTAGGTAACCGAACCGTTATCCTAACTCATTGAGTGTTTCCCCCCTTTTTTGGAAGGTCCTTTCGCCATTCTTACTTCTTAGCATAAAACTTGTACTCATTTTAACATTTTTTGTTTGCTTTAAAATTGGATACAAACTCAATACAAATTTAGAAGGAATAAAGAAAATTGAGCATCGTTATCATAAAGAAAGCTAAAAGGAATGAAATTGATGGTTCATATCCATCATCAACCATAAATTCATATATCAAATCCAAATTAAAACATATGAAATTTTGTTAGCGGTTAGTCGGATCGATTAACAGCTAAGTTGTAACAGATTTATAGGAACCTCTACTATGAGCCGATCTACCATATCCTTCATAATTAGCAATTAAGTACTCGTGAATTGGCGATTAACAGTTAATCCGAGAATTGACTAGTTGATTATCAGCCATACCGTAAAGTGTCGAATTCGAGCTCAATATGTTTCATGGTTTTCCCCTTGCTCTTTAGTGCAATTGTAGTGGTAAATATATCTATAGAAAATAAAACCTGTCAATTCAACATTCAACGTTCCAATGACTCAGCCATGCATTTATTCCCTTGGAGTAATGTCATTCAGAGTTTGACTTGGACTTGGAATAAAGAACTCCATGATCTTGGCCTTGGGCCTGGGGCAGGTATTGATGCAGACTTGGCCCCTTAGGGCTGAGAATTGAACAAACTGATACATACAGAGCCAACCCAACATTATAAGGGTTGCTAGTTGTTACTGGCAGCACACCAAGTTGGAATTGGAACAAGCATCAGCCGACATTAATCCTTTTGTCGTAAATCACGTCGTCTGTTGTAGTTATTGTTAAGATTTTGGGTATAAATAGCCTGTAAGGATTTTTAATCTAAACCACGTCCCAAGTAGAAGCAAAGAAAGAGACAAGTATAGAGAGTACTGATCGGTTGTGGTGGTGGTGGCGGCGAGATATTAGAGCATAGCGATGAGTTCTATTAATGAGTTTATTTATGTGTAAAGTTATGAATTAACTTATCATATTCTAGGATTTGTGTTGGACCATATACAATCCAAAAATTCATCGATATAATGAGGTGCTTTAATAATCGACGACACATCCATATTGGTCTCAGCATTTAAAATTATATATGTAGGTACAAAAAGAAATGTCATCTTCTTCACTACCGCTTCAGGCAACTGGTGCTCATGTTGCAGCAACCCACCAGAAGGAAATCGGTCAAGCAGTGGGTCGATCCTCAGAAATCTTCCAACCGACAGTTTGGGGCGATCGCTTCTGCGACAAAGTTGACCTCTCACTCCAGGTAACACACATAATTTATATAAATAAGGGTGCGTTTGGATAAATGAATTTCAAATTCATGTATTTAATTCCAATTTATTGTTTAGTTATTCATTTATAATTTAAGGATTTTAGATTTTAAGGTTTTTTATTTGTTGAGTTTTCTTTTCGTCAATTTTCTTTCTTAAATTCAAATTTTCTACAAACATGTCAAAATTGCTCGTGCCCAGTCTGTGGGGATGGAGTCGAAGACACTCTGCACGTAATCCGTGATTGTCCGTTTGCGAGGGAGGTTTGGTCATCCTTCCTTGTGAACGAACCGGATGAGAAATTCTTCCAACAAGAGGTGAGGAAGTGGTTACTATATTATATTTCAGGTAAGAGTGAGAACATTGACGCAACGTTGTTCTCGACGGTTTGCTGGCTGTTATGGAGGAACCGGAATGAAATGGTGTTTGAGAAGAAAAAGGGGACAGCTTCACAAATCCAGAGTGATGCCCGAAGACTGACGCAGAGTATGGTGGAGGCTTGTTCACGGGGAAGCTCTCTACTGGGGGATAAGGATCTAGGTACTTGGCGGCGGATTGGATGGCGGAAACCCCAGTCTGGGTGGGCGTGCATTAACACAGATGGTTCGGTGGCGTTGGGACAGCAAAGCTCGGCGGCAGGTGGCGTTATACGCGGTGAGGATGGTAGATTCTTAGGTGCTTTCGCCATGAATCTGGGAGAAGGCTCGGTTATTCGAGCTGAACTGATGGGGATCATTCAGGGCTTGCATTGTGCGTGGGAGCTTGGAGTTAGGAGAGCAGTCCTCCAAACGGACTCAAAGGCGGCGGTGGAGCTCATAAGTTCTGCCAGCTCACTACATCCCCACTACCAGCTTGTGCTTCAAGTGAGAAGTTTGAGAGAGCGACAATGGGAAACGGAAATTGAGCATGTATTTCGGGAAGGGAATGTCGCGGCCGACTTCTTGGCATCAACGGGGCACGCACTGCCCTTGGGAGTCCACATGATTTCGGACCCACCTCCGCTTCTCAAGTTCTGGTTATTGTACGACCTGGAAGGGATTCAAAGTCCCAGACTTGTTTCTTGTGATTAGGTTGGGCGCCCTTTTGCGCCCGTTTGCTTACCAAAAAAAAAAAAAAAAAAAATTATTGTTAAAATTACGTTTTGGTACCTGTATATTCTTTCCTTGCATTATAGTACATAAACGGTGAGTAAATAAAAATAGTTATTTTTTGTGTTGTGGGGAATTTCAATGAATGGTGTTGTTGAAGAACTTTGAGTAATATACGTACTTGTATACTTTTTCCTTGCATTATTTTTTTAGATGAACGACAACATATCGTGTGGTTGAAGATGTTAATTGGTTTTGATAAGTCAAATTATTAGTACGAAATGATATTCTTGGCAAACTAGCAAGAAGTACTATTTGTTCTAATAACAATTCATTGTGCTTTTCTTTTATTCTCTTAACTATATATGTTCGTAGACGAACAAAAAACAACACCCCAGGTATGACGTTCTCAAGGAAGAGGTGACGAAGATGGTCATAGACGAAGTAAAAAGTGGAGATGATGATCAGGAGGCAATGATTGCCGACAAGATGCAGCTGATAGATACAGTCCAACGTTTAGGCGTTGGGTATCTTTTTGAAAGGGAGGTTGAAGAAGCACTTGCAAAAGTGCATGCTTTTGGAGAAGACTTATTTATCAATGTCGACGAAGACAACAATACTGTCAATCTCTATCATACAACTCTCCGCTTCCGACTGCTCAGACAACAGGGCTTGCCAGTTTCTCTTGGTGAGAACACATTGTTTGCGGACTTTCTTTTTTCATACACTTTAACTATGGATAATTAACATTGGTTTGTTATATAATCCGCAATGTAGATGTGTTTATGAAGTTGAAGGACAGTGAAGGAAGGTTCAAGGAATGGTTGTCATCGGATGAGCAAGGACTGCTAAGCTTGTATGAGGCAGCACATGTGGCCCTCAATGGAGAGGACATATTGGATGAAATTTTAAGTTTTGCAACGAGGACCCTCAAGAGGGTCCTCGTCACACACAATAAGACTACCAACCATTCAATATCCAAAAAACAAATAGAATTTTCCCTTCGCTTTCCCATTTGGAAATGCATCCCAAGATTGATGACTAGGAACTACATCGATCTCTACTCTGAGGACCCTTCCCACGACCCGAAACTCCTCACATTCGCAAAGTTGGATTTCAACAGAGTCCAAAAGTTCCATCAGCAGGAGCTCCATGAAATCACCAAGTGGTGGAGCATTGTTCAAGTAGCCACCAACTTCCCATATGCAAGAGACAGAGTCGTGGAGTGCTATTTTGGTATGACTGCCATTTACTTCGAGCCCAAATATCGACGGGCAAGAATGATACTCAGCAAGATCTGTTTGACTATGATACTTGTGGATGACACGTATGACAACTACGCTACATATGAAGAGCTTCAAATTCTCACAAAAGCCATTGAAAGGTTCTTACCATGCACACACATATATATATATCATTTACTAGAATATAGCTAATTAACATATTGATTTGATATTGTATAGTACTTAAATTTTGTTTTCTATATACACATAGGCTGGAAATTGAGGCTCTCGAAACACTACCTGACACGATGAAGGATATTTACCATATCATTCTTAACACATATGAAGAAATCAAGATGGAACTTGGAAAAATTGGATGCTCTTTCGGTGCTGAGTATGCTAAGGCCGAGGTTATCTCTATACCATGTTAATTTTGAAATCATTCCTCCTTCGTTTTCACCCATCATGGGTGATCGAAATTAATGGTCAGTCGTAAGCCCATTCGATTTGGAGGAGAACTCAACTTCTATCTTGAATAATTTGATATCCTAATTGAGTCGATGCTCATGATTATTAGGGTTAAAGTGGATCCCTTTTTATGAATAAAAATGTTACCGCAACATTAATTATTCCATTCCTTTTGCCTTTTGGCCGGCTACTTAGCAATGAGCTAAATGTTTCTATTTTCACATTCTTAATCTATGTAGCTGAAACGGATGTGTCGATCCTTCTTGGTTGAGGCTCGATGGCGTACTGAAGGCTATGTTCCAACGGTGGAGGAGTATAAGACAACTGCATATATCACCAGTAGTTCTCTCATCGTTCCCACGTATGCATTTCTTGGAATGGGAACAGAAATAGTGACGAGAGATGCTCTCAAATGGCTTACTAATGAGCCAAAGATGCTAAGAGCCATCGGGGCCATTACTAGGCTCCATAATGATATCGTATCTTATGAGGTAATCATCTTAATGGTATCAAGTTTATTGAGATTTTATATAAGGCATCACATAGTTAATTTTTTTTTTTTTTTTGCTTTGTACTGTGTACTATGTACTATGCACCAATTTAATTTGTTGTTCCTCAGATGGAGCGAAAGAGAGAGCATGTGGCTTCTGCTGTGGACTGCTATATGAAAGAGCACGTAAAATCACAAGAGGAAGCCACTGAAATCATTTGGAAGGAGATTTCTGAAGCTTGGAAAGACATTACTAAAATGCATCAGAAACCAACTCCATTACCTGCGGCTCTAATAGAACGTCTTCTCAATTATGCACGTTTTTATCATGTGTTATATGAGCATGGAGATGCCTACACCCATCCCCAGCTAATGAAAGCACAAGTTGCTTCATTGTTCGTCAATCCTGTTCCTCTTTAAAAAAACTCAATTCCACTGTCAACATATATGTGGTCCAGAACATCAATCCTCAAATTTCATATAAATAAAACTAGTCATCGTATCTCCTCAAATCTCCAACCCCATTTTCTTGATTCCAGTGCTCCTCAAATCCTCCACCACCCATCGTATCCCCTGTTTCCTAATTCTAAACCAAAGCTCAAATCTGAACATTCCTCTGTTTTCTCCCCTGTTTCCTAACTCCAAAGCAAAGCTAAAATCTGAAAATTACTCTGTTTTCTCCCCTGTTTCCCAACTCCAAAGCAAAGCTATAATCTAAAAATTCCTCTGTTTTTTCCTCTGTTTTCTCCCCTGTTTCCAAAATCCAGATCAAGGACGGCAAGTACATCTTCCTCTACGGCGGAGACGACGTAGAATGGGTCCGGAAATTCACCAACACGGCCCGAGCAGTCGCAGTAGCCTCGTGGATCCCTATGGAAATGGCCTACGTGGGGAAGAGCACGAAGAAAGAGCTCGTCCGCCGCGTCCTCGCCACCATCACCGTGGAGAAGCTGAGCTACTTCTGGCAGGACCCGACCATGATCTGGTTCTTCTGGACGCGCCTCGAGAGCATGCTGTTCAACAAGATCCAGCAGGGCAAGCTCGACGACCATGACCCCATGATGCTGGAGATCAAGAAGCTGCTGAGCTACGACACGGAAGGAGGGTGGGCCGTTTTGAGCAAAGGGTCAAACATCATATCGAACGGGCACGGCAACACGGTGCTGACGACTCTGGTGGAGTACGATCTGTGGAAGGAAGAGATTCCGGTGAAGGGTTTCGATCTGGCGTACGATGATCATCACAAGAAGGTCCATGGGGTGACTTACCCTTGTTGCAGGTTCGAGTTTCCTAATACTGCGGGGAGGATTCCTGAAGGGATGAAGTGTCCTGGGTTTGGGATAGGAAAAGTAACCAATGGTTACTGACCTATCAGTAAATACACGGAAACCGTAGATCTGGGGATGGAGCAATCGGGTGGTTGGCTGGACGCGGAGGTGGGGAGGGGCATTTTTGTCCGTTTTTGTATTATTAATTTTTTATATTTATTCCGTATTTCAATGGCTGACTTTTCAATTAAAGAGAAATAATAACCTTTTCTCTGCAACTCTATTTTCTTCTTTCTCTCTTCCTTTTTCCAATCTCTTTCCAGATCCTTTCTCTATTCCTTCTCTCTTACTTTTTCTCTCACAATCTCCTTTTCAAATCTAGATCTGCTCTCTTCCATCTTTATTTTTTTCTCTAGAAATCGACTAATAAAAATTGAAGTCACCCTCTTTAATTGCGTTTCTTCTCTTCACCAACTCGTTGGCTTTAATTTTGATCTTTCTCCTTTTTTGGCGTTTGGTGTTCTTTGGCTGCGGATGAAATGAGATGAGACAGAAGACAAGTTTTTTTTTCTCCCTCCTTTTGTTTTTTTCCCTTTCTTTTAGGTAATATATATTGGTATTACCACACTATACCATATGGTATTATGTGGTAACGAAATATATATTGGTATTACCACTCTATACCATATGGTATTACCACACTATACTATACGGTATTGGGTGGTAACGAAATATATATTGATATTACCACACTATACCATACGGTATTGGGTGATAACGAAATCTATATTGGTATTACCACTCTATACCATATCGTATTGAGTGGTAACGAAATATATATTGATATTACCACGCTATACCATATGGTATTACCACTCTATACCATATGGTATTGGGTGGTAACGAAATATATATTGATATTACCACACTATACCATATGGTAGTAACGAAATATATATTCATGTGGCAAAAATTTTCATACCATATGGTATGCTCTTATTTAATATCAGTCAATACCATATGGTATAGACTGGTAATAACTGACAAATTTTTTTGTGTCCAAAAAATATCAAAGTGGATATCATTTTGAAGAGCACAATTAATCTGATCTAACTGTGCAAAAAAAATTAAATTTTGACTTAAAACGAGTGAGAAATCGTCCGTTAAAGATTAAGGGAAGGAAAATTAAATGTTTTGCGAGGAGAGAGAAGGAGGCGCTGATGTGGTACGGTCAAAAGTCAGCCTCGACAATAAATAGGAGAAAGTGCAATTTTACTGTACTGCCCTTTTCACATTTAATTTAAATAAAAAAGTGTCTGACACGTGGGTATCATAGAAGAGGTTACTGATGGGTTACTGACCCATCAGTTACTGACCCAATCTGGACCCAGTGTCCTGAGTGTCATAGGTATATGGAGAAGTATACCACTTTCCTTTGTTGCCATGATGAAGGGCATCCTACTGCCTCGCCATTTCGAGGGGAGTTGTAGACGATGACGACATGGCGTTTGAGAAGCGGTGCTTGGAGTAGTACTAAATAAAGAAAGCGGTGGAGGAGAGATCATGGATGGATGCTTGCATGCATGGTTTGCATTCATAGAGCTTTTTACTATATTTGTTGCAGTTTTCAAGCGTTTTTTAGTTAATGGTTTGAGTCATGTTGTAACTTGCCAATGGCGGTTCATGTCATGGAATTGATTAATGAATAAAAGTAATATCTATATCCATGGTAAAGACTGATTTACTTTGAGTATAGTATACTTCAGGTGATCTGACGGTTAGATGTGATTTGATGATATTCGATCAATTTCAATTATTATTTTCCATTAAATTGAACTTCGGACTTGAGTTGAGAGAATCAAGGCTTGAAGTCTATTCATTATAGGTCAGGGTATAGTATCATACCCCAAATTCGATTAAATTCATGGTCTAGATGGAGATGTCTCGCTAGGAGTACCTGAAGTATAGTATACTCCAGGAGGACACCAGTCTAACCCCTATATCTCTATATAATATCAATGTTCAAGAAGGCGTTGGGCCGCTGTTAGGCAATACCTACGTGTTTTAGCAAAAGTAGCGGGTTTCAGTATAAGTACAAATTTGTATAGCACGTTTTTACTTCGGTGCACTCACTTTGAGTGCACCCAACTCTAAAAGCGTCCATAATACATCAAATTTTGAACTTTAATTAGTACTCTCAATATAATATGATGATATGACATAGAATCATAACAAATCAATCCATTACCCTAACTAGGGATGGCAATGGGTCGGGTTGGGTCGGATTTTGCCAAACCCAAACCCATGGGTTTATCTTTGAAAAAAACCCGTGGGAAAACCCACTGGGTATGAAAAACTCAAACCCAACCCAACCCGTTGGGTATCCGCAGGTTCATGGGTGCCCACGGGTTTTGTCGTAAAAAATTTACAATTACAAGTTCTTATCAAAATTAAAGTCAAATATCAATCTCTTAATACAAATTATCCATATATAAAACACCATTCTAGAAAATTCAAGCAAATCACAAATTAACTATACAAATTGTTCAACACCAATCTAGAAAACTCAAGAAAATTGAAGCAAATCACAAATTATCCATAAATAACATGTTTAATTGAAAGCTTTCCTTTCAATTAAGTTTCTTTACTCTCCACTCCATAACATCAACTTCATTCTACACAATTAAAAAGAAAAAATTAGACATGTCTCCACAAACATAAATAAGATTAGTTGTTTAGAATATTAAATATACCGAAAAAATTAATTATATGGGTGGGCGGGTACCCACGGGCCGGGTTTACATAAACCCAAACCCAACCCAACCCAACCCGGTGAATAGTGAATGGGTTTAAACCTAAACCCGGCCCAAAACCCGTCAACACGGATTTTACCCGCGTTGACCGGGTTGGGTCGGGTGGGTACCCGTGGGTTCGGGTTTTGTTGCCATCCCTAACCCTAACCCCTTAACCTTCAATTTTAAACCCAAAATCCCAAATTGTAAACCTAAACCCTAAATCCCTAAATCCTAAATCCTTCGAATTAAAGTAAATTTTGAATGAATTTTTTTCAAATTCATGTGCTTCTTGTTCATTATATCATAAGCAACAATTGATACCGTTTTGACATGAATCGCATGGTCAGAATGACAATTATGAGGCGGGTGCAGTGAGTGCCTCGAAAAAGTGGGTGCACCGAATACGACCCCATATATATGGTTTAGGCTAGCGTACGGCCGGGCGTACGTTAGCTAACGTACGCCCGTTGAGTTTTACTATTTAGATCATGAATTAACCGGAGTTTTTGGCATGATACTATACCCTAACCTCTAATGGGTAAACCCCAGTCCCTAATTTTCTAACCCAAATCATGAGAATCGTTTAATCTTAAAATGTAAATCAACAATAATTTCGACGAATCTGAACCGTTGATTTTGATTTCGAAATTAAATGAATATTATGCTTTGGGTTAGTGAATTGGGGACTGGGGTTCACCCATTAGGTGTTAGGATATAGTATTATGTCCCAAACTTTGGTTAATTCATTGTCTAAATAGCAAAACTCAACGGGCGTACGGTTGGCTAGGGTACGTCCGGGCGTACGCTAGCCTTTGCCATATATATATACATATATATATATATGGCAAAGGCTAGCGTACGCCCGGGCGTACCTTAGCCTACCGTACGCTCATTGAGTTTTGCTATTTAGACAATGAATTAACCGGAGTTTGGGGCATGATATTATACCCTAACCCCTAATGGGTAAACTCCAATCCGCAATTCACTAACCCAAAGCATAATATTCATTTAATCTTGAAATGAAAATCAACGGTTTTGATTCATCGAAATTATTGTTGATTTTCATTTCAAGATTAAACGAATCTCATGATTTGGGTTAGAAAACTAGGGACTGGGGTTTATCCATTAGTGGTTAGGGTATAGTATCATGCCCAAAATTCCGGTTAATTCATGATCTAAATAGCAAAACTCAAACGGGTGTACGGTAGCCTAACGTACACTCGGGCGTACGCTAGCCTAAACCATATATCAGTTCGGCCATGTAACTAGGTTAAAGATTCTACGTTGATAATAATATTGACTGATAGTTTGTCGCTCTTCGTGGAGTAGTCATGTTCATATCGAACAGGGAAACCACGTAAATTATGTGTCTTGTGTTTCTCTACATGATTTGCGTATGTGGTTTGATTGAAATGATTTCAGAGCCTTTTGGATCGAGAGGTCTTGTGTTAAAATCTTGGTGACCCCATATGTTTTATTAAGGACATGGTGTCTGGATCTATGCAAACTTCAAGCCCATATACATATGGTGGATTTCGTTTGAGGGGGTATGTTGTTTAATGGTATATGATCCACGATTGAATCTCTCCCAATCACTCGAGTTATTGGTATCAACAGGTTCTTGAAAAGTAATCCTTGTAATACCATACAATCGCATGTTAATTACATATTTTTTCAAATATTATAGTATTGATAATGAGCTTACCTTTTTCTAATCACGGTTGATTTGGATTGTACGGATACGATGACATTTATTTAAAATATAAACGTGATATCGATTGATAAAAAAAACAATTAACGAAACATTGTGATGAGCTCAAGAATTTAGTTGAGCTGCAACCATTTAGCTAGGTAGTTTTTGGGTGAAGTAAGATAAACTTAGGTGAAGGCATTATACAACTTTGTGTACGGGTAATCCAACGTATTAATGTAAGAAAGATTGACGATTTCAGGATGTGATGATAACTGTTCAGGAAAGCAAGGAAACACAAGATGAACGCAAAAAGAAAAGAACCAAAAGCAAGAAGAGCAAGCAGGAGCAACAAGAAACATCACCAAAAAAAAAAAAAAACATCGGTATAGTAAATTATTCAAATGTCAATGATTTCTTCAAAGAGGCACGGGATCAATGAAAAGTGAGGTGAGATGATCCTTCAAAAGGTGGGAATTGATGAGGCAATCACCATCGTCGTAGAATATATTGATTAGACGTGTCAAATTGAGGAGACGATCCGTGAGATCGGTTGATGGCAACAAGGTCGGTTTCTGACAATACTCTTCGACAATATCTTTCCACGCGTTAGAAATCTCTTTCCACAGGAATTCAACAGCTTCTTTCTCCGACACTCGATACTCCTTCATACAACATTCCACGGCTGAAGCCACATGGTTCCTCTTTTGTTCAAACTGTGCAAAACACACACGCCCCACTGGTTAATACAAGTAACATAGGTTTCAGTAAAAAAAAAAAACTATCATAACTAATTAAGCACTTTGTAAGATTCATAAAAGAAGGGGGGAAAATACCTCGTGAGAGAAAATGTCATTTTGAACCCTAGCAATGAGACAACCAGCATTCATCATTTTAGACTCATTAGTTACCCATTCAAAAGCCTTCTTGGTGGCTATCTCTGCTCCCATACCAACGAAACACGATGTGCAAAGTTTGGACACACCGCTAGAGGCAACTCCATTGATAATGTACTCTCTCAGTGTCGGAACCCGACCTTCATTGCGCCACCGAACCTCACCCAAGTAGGCTTGGGACAATTTCTTGAGCTGCAATATGTTATAACAATATGAAGATTTAATTGACTAATCTTTTTCTTGACATACTATGTGGATTATTTATCGCAGATTACGTACCTCTGCCTTTGCATATTGGACACCGAAAGTGGGTCCTATTTTCCCAGTTTCCTTCTCGATTTCATCATATAGATTAAGGATGACACTATATACATTTCTCATCCTGTCGGGTAGTTCTTGGAGAGCCCTAACATCCATCCTGTAGGATTATGCTCATATAAAATACACATACGATTCCACAATCAATTATTAACAGAAAGCGCTCCAACTAACCTAAATAGCCAATCTAACACATATATGGATTATGCAACAAGAACCTTTCAATAGCTTCAGTTAGGGCATGCGCCTCTTCATATGTAGCAAAGTTATCGTAAGTGTCGTCCAATATAGCCAACATTAAGAAGATTTTGGTGGCTATAATTCTTCCCGACCGGTATTTGGGCTCAAAGTACATAGAATTGACGCAATAATAACTCTCCATAAGCCTGTCTCTTGCATAGGGAAATTTGGTCGCCACATCAATACTTCTCCACCAACTATGTATGTGTATATAACAAAACCAAACCAAGAGAGGTGATTAGTGAGTAACTAATACAATATTACTACAATGTGTGCATATATTAGGTTAACAGAGCTCACTTAGAGACTTCATAGAGCTCTTGCTGATGAAATTTTTGAACTATGTTGAAGTCCAACTTTGCAAAGGCGAGGAGTTTTTCATGGTGGAAAGAGTCCATAGAGTAGAAATCGATGGAGTGTCTAGCAAGGGACCTCGGGACACATTTCCAAGCAGGAACGCGAAGAGCAAAGTCGATCTGCTTTTGGAATGAAGGGTTGGTTATATTGTGTGGGAAGATTGACTCAAGGGTCTTTGTAGCAAAACTCTGGAGTTCATCCAATATATCTTCCCCATTGAACGCCATGTGTGTTGCCTCGTACAAGCTCAACAATCCTTTCTCGTCCTTCGCCAACCACTCTTTGAACTTTCCTTCACTTCCTTTCAACTTTCTAAACCCATCTACACATACATGTGTGCATAGCAGATTAACATATGATTATCCACAATTAATCGTATATAATAGAAATTGTTCTAACTAACTTGTAATTATGTATACATACTTACCCGGCGATACAGGAAACCCTTGTTGTCTCAGGAGTCGAAACCGGAGAGCTGCATGGTAGAGATCGGAACCTTTGTCACCAATGTTAGAAAATAAGTCATCTCCTAAATCATCAACTCTTTCAAGAACTTCTCCGATCTCCTTCTCGAAGTGATATCCAACGCCTAGCCGTTGTACTGCATCTATCAGTCGTAGCTTATCTGCAATATGTGACTCAGAGTCTCCACTTTTTACATCGTAATCTATCACCATCTTCCTCACCTCTTGCTTCAAAACTTCGTGTTTTGGCTGTTTATGGTTCGCCTAAAAAAAATAATTAAGCAAGCTTTAAATTTTGAATCCAACAAATTCTTCTAAAAAATTATGCACACAAAAAAAAAAAGAAAAAAAACGATCAAGAGCAGCACAGGTAATAAGTTAACCTGGAGTGACGCATAATCAAATCTGTGGTCGAGGAAGCCATTGCCCCAAACTGTGCGAGGGAGGCTTGCTGATGAGACATGATCCACCGTTCCGGCGGTCGCCTGTGTTTGAGTCGCCGGCGAGTTAGCAGCTGACGGAAGTGGTAATGAAGAAGAAGACATAAAAATAATAGCATGCATGGCAGCGGCTGGCTGGCTGTTATATCTTCGAAGTAAGCTGTGAATGCTAACGACTACTATTAATGTGCAATGATGGCAAAGGTGGCGAGGACTCACGAGTCACGACTATATATAGTCAAATTGTCAAGTGTAATAATTGAAGATATCAGCAAAAAGAAAATCAAATATAAAACGTTGAATGGTAGAGAAAATACTCAGTCGAGCAAAAAGAAAATCAAATATAAAAAAATAGTTGTTTCTTCTATTTTACGATTGGGTGATTTTTTCTACATTGTATGTTTAGGTTTAAATTTAGCTACTTTTCCTGTTTTACGTTGAGTGATTTTTCGTACATTCAATGTCTACACTTAAATTCCACTTTATTAGAATTTTTTCTTGTCTTATTGGATAATATCTTGTTTTGATTCACTTGATATTTACGTTTATTTGTAAATGTGTATTTTGAATTATGTAAATAATGAAAATTAGCTAACCAAAATAATATGCAATATGACTTTACAAATATATCTTTTAAAGCAAAAGAATACGCAATTTTTTTTATTTTTGAAGCACCGACAACGAAATTCTGACTTCGCCCCTGCAGTCGAGGATACCATAATAATATTATATAATTACCATCTTGTTTCCAAACATAATCATAAGTTTTTTACTCTATGAGTCATATTTTAACTCTTTATACTATAATTGCAAGAAGTTGATATAAGATTTTTTTTTAGTTCATATTTGTTTGGAGCGGTTGAGAAATAGATTAATATATAATCATTTATCATTTGTTTCTACTCTGAATATATCACTCGTACCATGTCCAGACAGGTTTTGCCATATATATCATGTCTACTCTGAATCATAAAATATCAGTCTGACAGTTTTTCATTTGTCTTGGCCCTTGGCTGAACCTACTTTGCCTGAGAATGGATGGAGCCAGCAAATTCAGCCAAGTCTCTGGTAACCTTGATGGCAACCAAAGAAGCATGAACAGGCTCCACCACCTATTGTTGGGGAATGAGAGGGCTCTACCTTATGTACAAATTGACAAACTTGGAATTTTGCTCATAATAAGAGTACACATGCATGTATAACTAACTGGAAATGTTTATGCATGTTCCAACTTTTTAGTAAATGAATTACTAAGGGTTAGGGTAGGTAGGTGAAAGCAAGATAGTAGTGTGGATAGTAAGTAATAGAGTTAAAATATGACTTTAGTAGGGGGGGGGGGGGGGGAAAGTTAGGTACATTTGTAATAATATTTGTCGCCCTAAAAATCTTTATTCGTCGCGCTAATTAAGTTAATTTTACTCGAATGCCCTTAATTTTTTTTAATGTGGAAGAGAGATTACTATATAAACGAAGTAGGGTTCCTTGCCGTCAATGTCGTAACAAGAATTTTCGTCTTCTTGGTTGTAGTCTAAGTAGTAATGTTGTGCAAAGGAGAGAAATCTGAAACGTAGCCTAAGTAGTATTGTTGTTGCTCTATAGAACAATTGTTCATGTGAAGCAGACAATGAGATTACGTGCTATATATCAATAAATGAACTTTGACGAAGGGTTGTTCCAAAAAGGCATGGAAAATTACAGAGCAGAAGAATACCTTGGAAGAATTGTGTTTTGACTGAAAATGCTGCAAATTCTATGTAGCTTTTGGGATTAGAGACGAATGAACAGCAGGGGTAGACAACCAGGCTTGCAGAGGCTACGGAGCAGGAGTAGGAGCAGGCGATGCCTTCTTCTTCGATTTGAGCGGCGGCGGATTTGGATTGGGGGTGAGGAAGGGAATATGAATTGTTTGGTTAGAGTTTATAATTAAAATTGGTTTGAGAGGTAAATATGTTAATTTGTTGATTTTTAGGGCGATAAAATTTGAATTCTAGGGAGACGAATAGCGATTCAGTAATATTTCAATTATTTCACATACGATTTATAGGCCCTGAACTATCACTTTTTCCTATTCAAGCCCCTCAACAATTTATTTTTCTATTGAAGTTCCTGATGTTTTGTTTTTTCCTAACCCAGCCCCTGCCGTTACTTTTCTGGTAATATGACGTTAGTATAATTGAAAAGACAATATTTTCCTTAAGAAATTTAGAGAGAAAAAAATTATCGAAGAAAAAAGAACTCACATGTCTTACCTAACCCTATTCGCCAGCTGCCGTTTCTCTTTAATTTCCTACGCAAATTCAAAATTCTCCACCCATGCACTTAGTCGTCTTGGTGAATTTTCATTGATGCCACTAGTTGAATTTTTTTTATGGGCAATATAAAAAAATTTATTAAGCTCTATGTGTTCCCCAAACAGGGTTAACACATCTTGATCGTTTACATTTCTGCTCTATCAGACTTACAGAAAATCAAACTACACTGTACACAAAACAAAGAAACTTGCACTACTACACTCTGCTACTAACTAGTGCTTACTGAATAAAAACTGCTCGGCGATCTATATCCAATGCTGCAATTTCATGTCTGGCCAACTCAATCAGTTTTCGAACGGTACAAAGTACCTCCCCATACAGCGTTGATTTACTCCCACACAGTCTGCCACACCTTTCCCTCCAAACCATGCTTACTACTAAATTCCAAACCAAGTGACCAACCATAGCTAACACCTTCTTACCTTTGAAAGTCCTCACTGCCTACATCAAGTAGTCTTCATAGTTAGCTAGCCGAGGACATCTCTGATCAAGCATTTGCAGGCAACCCTTCAGCAGTTTGAACGTGTATTAACATTGAAAGAATAGATGGTCTCGATTCTTTGTATGAGCAGAACATAGTAGACATTTATCATCCAACAGCTTCCCCCAACCCTCCAACTAATCCAGTGTAGTAATCTTGTTTCTTGCCACAATCCAACTCAAGAAACTATGTCTAGAAATAGAGTGTCTTCCCCATACAAGCTGATACTAGTGAACTAAAGGTCTAGCCGGCTGTAAATCCTGCCAAACTTGTTTTACAGAGTATCTCAACACCCTCTTATCATTCCAATCAACTTGTGTTCCCAACAACGAATGAAACCTTCCACCTTATCTCTGACCTTTGGCAATCTCTTCCAAACCCAAGAAGCAGTACTACCTGTTCTTAATTCCCAGAAAGTGAGATGTTTAATACGATACTGTAATTCCACGCAACCCACTAAGACCCCTCTTTGGCAAGCAGAGGCCAGACGTGTCTCGTGGTGCAAGCTATATTCCATGTTTTTAGACAACCAATGCCTAGCCCCCTTCCTTTTTTGGGACACCTAATAAATCCCATGCCATTACCACTTTTTTCCTTATGGAATCATCATCTATGCCCCAAAGAAACTTACAACGTTTACGCTCTATCTCCTTTATGATGGACAGAGGCAACATGAAAACATTCATCCAAAAATTGGATAGACTACTCAAGACAGATGTAATGCGTTGGAGTTTACCTGTGTAACTGAGCATCTTAGGCTTCCATCCAGAAATGCGTTTTTGTGATCTTCTCAATTAACAGTCTACAGTCACTTGTAGTAAGTTTCCCTTCTATGAGAGGAACTCCCAGATAACGGACTGGTAGTGAAGCTTTATGAAACCTAGCTAACTGTGCCAGTCTAGCATGCTCTGCCTCTTCGATCCCTGCGCAGAATAATTGGCTTTTTTATGGATTTAACCTTAACCCTGAAAGCATGTAAAATTTGTCCAGTAGACCACTTACACTCTCTCACTTGATATTTACGTTTATTTGTCAAATGGTTTGACTTGGCAGCTTACGATGGCCATCCTGATTCCTGATAAGAAGATTCGGTCATATGGGTTGATTTTTATTGTATGCGTGTAAGAAAGAAGTTAATATAAGATTTTTTTTCAATTCATATTTGTTTGGAGCGGTTCAGAAATAGATTAATATATAATCATTTATCATTTGTTTCTCGAACTCACTCGTACCATGTCCAGACAGGTTTTGCCATATATATCATGTCTACTCTGAATCATAAAATATCAGTCTGACAGTTTTTCATTTGTCTTAGTCCTTGGCGGAACCTACTTTGCCTGAGAATGGATGGAGCCAGCAAATTCAGCCAAGTCTTGGTAACCTTGATGGCAACCAAAGAAGCATGAACAGGCTCCACCACCTATTGTTGGGGAATGAGAGGGCTCTACCTTATGTACAAATTGACAAACTTGGAATTTTGCTCATAATAAGAGTACACATGCATGTATAACTTACTGGAAATGTTTATGCATGTTCCAACTTTTTAGTAAATGAATTACTAAGGGTTAGGGTAGGTAGGTGAAAGCAAGATATAGTAGTGTGGATAGTAAGTAATAGAGTTAAAATATGACTTTAGAGCAAAAAAAAGTTAGGTACATTCGTGACAATATTTCAATTATTTCACATACACTTCATAATAGTATCCAAAGGAAACATTTTATGTACGAGTTAATGGACAATATAGCCCCTGAACTATCACTTTTTCCTATTCAAGCCCCTCAACAATTTATTTTGTCTATTGAAGTTCCTGATGTCTTCGTTTTTTCCTAACCCAGTCCCTGCCGTTACTTTTCTGGTAATATGACGTTAGTATAATTGAAAACGACAATATTATCCTTAATAAATTTAGAGAGAAAAAAAATTATCCAAGAAAAAAGAATACCAATCATATTGATCTTTTACCCCTAATTGATCAACATTGAGATTCATGATCTTTTACTCCAAACTCGAGGCCAATTGATTGTCAGTTAGGTTGCCTTGCAGAAGCGACCATCAACACCGATCAAGATATTGATGGCGGCGATGAATATAATTGGGATGACAAGGTCTAGAATGTTGAGGCTCCCCTGATCATGCTCGACTCTTTGAAATTAAGCCTCCGCGAGGCAGCGTTTGGGGTCAACGGCGGTGTCAATGTACTTCAACATGTAATGGACAGGATGAAAATGTAAAGATAGGGTTACGAGATGATAGAAACCCTGTTGATCTGAGTCATCTAGGATATGGACTGGTTACAAGATTAATTGGGGATGGATCGATGATTAGAGATTTGATACAATAGAGATCAGATTAGGGAAGAATTAGGGATTTATGATAGAAAGAACATAATTGGGGATTATGGATTGAGAAGAAGAATTTGGGCAGAAGAAGAGTAGAATGGCGGGCGGCCTTAGGGAGAGGAGGGACGAGATGATAGAAACCTTGATAAATATCTTTATACGACTCAAATTCTACTAACTCTAACAATAATTATTTTACCATAATTAATAATAGAAAATCTTAGGAAACATGTTTTTATTATTCACTCCCCCTTGATACCAACCTTTCCTTCAAGGTGGACCGACTCCACATCTCCCCTGCAATCCGCGCATTGGCTTCTCCATTCTTGTGCTTCCTTTTCTTTCAATCATGCTCCACTACTTGACTTGGGCTTCTTGTGTTGGCCTTCTTGTAATGGTCCAACTCTTCGAATGTCACTTCTATGAGCCCACTATTCGAAACAACTTAACGTATCCATAGGTACTTTTTGTACAATAATCTATTCTTAACCATAAATTTGTCAAGCTCCCTCGAACTCCATGTTGGTAGCCCATGTAGGTCTGATCCCATTGATAGGTCAAAACTCTAGACTAGAGTTGATCCTCCTTGGAGTTAGCCCATCAAATTCTTTAGCTTTCTCTTCAATTGCTCCTAGCCCATACTCCCTTGAGAACTCATTTACTAAGCCCACAAATTCATCTTCTTTTTTTTAAGCTCACTCCATACATTAATAATATTATTAATAATATTATTTATCATTAATATTTTTTTAGGATTATTTATTAGGATTATTATTAGAATTATTATTAATGTGTTTAGTAGTCTTTTATTCAGATTAGGTTAGTATTAGGTTTTTCCGGTCTTTCGTTATAAATATGTACTTTGGGATCTTTGTTTGGATTAAGCATAAACTAATAGAAGAATTATGGGCAATGTCTATTTTTTACCCAAACCTTTCCAAAATTCTTTTATTTTACCCAAACCTATAGAAATTCCATTTATTATCCAAACGTATTGTATCTGTTCATAGTCTGGGCATTCGTTCTGTTACCGTTAATTTTTTACTAACGGATCTCCACGTCAGCGACCACGTCAGCGTCCATATCAGAAATTAATAAAATAAAAAATTATTAAATAAATAAGCCATTCTCCCCACTGTACTCCACCGTTCCCCCTGCAAATCCACTCGATTTCTAGGCCTATACAACACGTGTCTCGTATGCTTCCAAAAATGAAAACCACCAAAAGAGAAACTCAATCCCCCAATTCAATTCACATAAATGAACTTCCAATTAAATTCATTTCCATAGTCGCTCAGGAGCAATCGCGTTTTGCATTTATAACCCATTGATCGTAGTCTGCCGGCGAGAATCGCTCGATACAGAGGGGAATCAGTCAGGGGCAGGTTTTCTCTGTTTCTTTTGGAGGGAAGGAAAATGGCGAACCTTCCTAATTCGCTCTCCATGAATGCTCCCTTCGGAGGACCTGGTGGCCCTGACCCTGGCGGCGCAGGAGCGCCGGCCGGAAAGGAACGGAGAATGGCGTCTGCCGAGCACTTGGTTCTCGAGATGAGCAACCCCGACCTTCGTGAAGAGGGTTGCTGGGTCTGGAACCACCATCTCTGCCATCAATCCCCCTCTTCCTTCCCCACTTCCCTTCTGCAATTCCCGCTTGCCAATTCCCCCTTTTCATCACACTTGTTCGATTAAGAGTTCCGACGACTTCGACGGCGCCTGGTACGTAAAACGTCTTTCCCCCAATTTGAGATTTTGACGAAGGGAAAACAGAGGGTTCTGATTCGATTTTGGGTCTCTATTCTTCCTGCAGGTTGTTTGATTAAGGAATCGGAAACCATTTGCTTCAGTCCGAAGACCCAGAAAGCATGCCCAAGATCAGCGAAATAAACCCTAAAGGCAACCACATCTCCTTCCAAGTTCTTCTTCGTCCCACCCTTCCCCTAAATTACCCAGTTCAACATTTTCATCGAGAAATTGTAAAAAACAGAGGCTAATTGATTTGGAATTTTTTTTACATTTCTGCAGTGCGAGAGCATGGCGATGGTGGAGAAGAAACTGAAGGGAGGAGAGGAGGATGCTGTGGACGACGACTCACTTTATTAAATTTTTTTCTATTAATTTTTTAATTTTTAAAATATAAAATGATATGTTGACCGCCACGTCAGAAGTCAACTCAGATTTGTGATGTTGAGTCAGCAATATTAACAGAAAAGTTGACGACGAGTTAACGTTTGGATAATAAATAGAATTTCTATAGGTTTGGGTAAAATAAAAGAATTTTGGAAAGATCTGGGTAAAAAATAGACATTGCCCAAGAATTATCTCCCTAATTCTCTCTTCTAACTCTCTCAATCTCTCTTTTCTCTCTAGCCTAGGCAGCTGGCCATTCTAGCTCTTTCTTTCCTGTTCTTCCCCAGATCCCAATCTCAATCCCTAATTCTGTTCGTATAAACCCTAATCCCCAAATATCAAAACCGATAGAAACTTTGTCGCTATTATGGAGCGTCACTTAGCTGAAGCCATTAAACTAAACGGAAGAAACCGAAAAGTTTTGCATCAAATAAAATAAAATCAAGGTATGTGGTTCTTTAAATGGAAGTGCCAAATTTGTGAAAGTTCTCAAAATTGCATTTTTGTGGGTATGCTTGTGCTTGGCTTGCAGTCGTTTGGTTTGTTCTGTAGCTTGGCCGGTTGGGTGGACGTTCGCCACCTCTTGTGAGTTAGAGTGATATTTTGGGTCTTCCCCACTGTTTCGCTTCCCCTTCCCCTTCCCCTTCCCCTTCCCTTTTTTTTTAATTTTTTGCGGGTGCTTCTCACGCTTCCTGATATCCCCAGCGGCCGGCTCCTGTTTGCAGAGTGAACAACGAAGCCACTAGTTTTTAACAGCAGCTAGCGCTTGTGACTCAGCCTACACAGCTTCAATATATGTGTTCACAACAGAAGATTTTGATACCATGTTAAATTATACGAAAATTGAAATAGAACACAAACACTCGCTCGATTTACTTGATTTTCCCGAAGAACCAATGCATTATAAGAGAATTTGTACATTTATGTTATGCCAGAAGTTCATAATTGGAGGTCGTGGAGATTCGAACACACAGTCACTTGGTCAAACCGGCTCTAATACCATGTCATAAACCAGTTGGTCCCAATAATTCGAGCTGTTGGGAGAAAGTTATGTTGTATCACTCTCTAACACCCATGACGTTAAAAGTTAAAAACCTTTACAGAAACTCTAATCAATCTTGGTTGTTGTCTATTGTTATTGTAATTATTATAACAACGGATTTCAACGGAGCATATATATATAGATATATATATAAAATTTTTGAAAAAAGATAATCATATTGATTCAAAATATCAGGTAGTTACACACTGGAATATAGTCAGGTCTGGAAATCAAAAGAACGACAGGTAGCCGGATACAAATAAAGGGCCTTTTTAGCCACCACATGGGCTACTTTATAGTTATTCCGACCTACAAAGTACAAATCGTATACTAAACCCAGGGTGATAAGCAAAACATTGCACAACTTCATCCAAAATACCCCCACACCTACTATCTCTGGTATCAGCCCGATTTATCTTCTCGATGATGACCTTGGCATCCCCCTCAAACCGGACGTTCTGAAGACCACGATGTATACACCAATAGAGCGCCTGCCGGAGGGAAAGCAATTCCACAACCATTGGATCCTCAATGTCCCTAAACTGCGTCCCATGAGCCTGAAAGACCTCTCTATAGATATAGATATATATATATATATATATATATATATATATATAAGGGTAAATACAATATATTAGCCACAACTATTATGAAGCGGGGAATTATAGCCACAACTATTGAAATTCAAATTATTAGCCAAACGTTAACTATCTGTTAACAATTTCGTTAGTAATAGTGACTAAAATTTTATGTTTTGAAGTTATAAACTAAAAGCATTCCTACGTGGCCGATGACGTGACCTTCTCCGTCAAAAATTCAATAACAGTAACAGACAGTTAACCATATCTTGACCTGCAACAATAGTTATGGCTAATAATTTGAATTTTCATAATTGTGGCTACAATTCCCCGCTTCATAATAGTTGTGGTTAATATATTGTATTAACCCTATATATAATTATTGAGAGATTTCATGGAGTTTTTGTTATTGATACTTTTGAGTTTTTGTTATTATACTTTTGAGCTCCGTTGAAATCCAACTTTGCGAATGCGAGAAGTTTGCGATGGTGAAGGGCCCTCAAAGTAGAAATCGATGTAATTTTTCCTAGTAAGCAACCTTGGGATGCGTTTCCAAAGGGGAAAGCAAAGAAAAAAATCAATTTTACTTGTGAAATGAAAGGACGACGATATTGTGCTAGAGGACCGACTTGATCAGGATCATTGTTGCAAAACTTACGGTGTTATCTAACACAAAATTCTTCCTTGAGCTGCCTAATGCTAAGCAACCCTAGTTAGAGATGAGATTTCGACCAGGAGCTCCATCCACCATGCAACTAGAGAAATTATCGGGGTAGTGGGGGGCTCTACCTTCTGTACAAAATTGACAAATTTGGCACTTCGACATATGAGAAGATTTGACCTCCACTGGTTGTCTTCGTTGATCTCTATCTTGATTTTATGTACAGCCTTTGGTTTCTTCTTTGTGGTTTGTTGCTTACTTGGACAAAAAAAAAAAAAAAAATGAATCTTATACTTTTCCCTCATCATTTCTCCTCCTGCCTTTCCCCCGAGCGTGCTGACATAGTTGGTGAATGGATATGGAATCTGGATGCCATATTACATGTAGTGAGTGGTAACATTAAATATGTTATATAAGTTCGAACTCCTTTTAACATCTTTAATTATGATCTTACTTTTAGTTTTAGGATCACAGTGAATCATTTGTTTTCTTGGTGAATCGATGTTTCCTACCATCTAGCCGATTATCCTAATTTATTCATATATTATTGACGTCAGGAGAGGATCTATACGGTGTCTGAATATTTTGTGAGAAATCCAAATTTTGTCGGTGCAAACTAAAAACCTGAACCCAAAACCTACAACACCACTTTAATAATAATGGTAACAAAGACACTTTCATCGCACTACAATTTTGACCGAGCTATGTGATGTTATACGTACCTCTAGGGAAAATGGCCGGTCGATCCAACAAAAAAGAAAAAATAATAAGAAACTAATTGAATGGCAGAGATGGATTCAATTAGGATAATATTATCACAATAGTAATATATATACCGCTGAGAAGTTCCCATGCATATATATATATAGCACCAGCCAGGATCTTTCAGAACTAAGAAATAGAAAAAAAATCAATCCGATCAACTAAAGCCAACCCTGCCGGAGATCAGAATGGAGCTCCTCCTCCTCCTCATTTCCTTACTCTGCCTCGTCCTCACCGTCACCATCCTCCGCTTCCAGCTGCCACCAAAACCTCCGGCGGCGGCGGCCAAACTCCCACCGGGCCCCACCCGACTCCCAATCATCGGCAACATCCACAATCTAGGCGCCAAGCCTCACAGATCGCTGGCCGACCTCGCCAAGAAACACTGGCCGTTGATGAGCATCAAGCTGGGCAGAATCACCACCATCGTCGCCTCTTCTCCAGCCGTCGCCAGGGAGATCCTCCAAAAGCACGACAGAATCCTCTCCAACCGCCACACCTTCCTCTCCATGAAAGTCCTCGACCTCCACAAATTTTCCATGCCCTTGCTCCCCGCGGAAGCCAAGTGGAGGAACCTCAGGAGAGTGTGCAACTCCTATCTCTTCACCCCCCAGAAGCTCGACTCATATCAGGAGCTCCGCAGGGAGAGGGTTCTCGAGCTGTTGGAAGATGTTCGACGGGCCGCCTCCCAGAGGCCAGGGGAGGCGTTGGACATCCGGAGGGCGGCGTTCAGGGCGACTCTGAACTCTCTGTCGTCCACCATTCTGTCGTTGAATCTGGGGGACGTGGAGAGGTCGGAGACCGCCAGGGAGTTTCAGGAGCATGTGAGTGGGATCATGGAGGAGGTAGGGAAGCCCAATTTAGGGGACTATTTCCCCGTCATGGGGAGGATGGATTTGCAAGGGATACAGAGGCGGATGAAGGGACATTTGGAGAATGTTCTCAACTTGTTTCAATGGGTCATCGACGAACGGGTGAGGAAGATCAAGTCCGATGAGCTCTATGTCTCGCCAAACGACATGCTCCACACGCTTCTGGCCATCGGAGACGACGGCGAGGGTGCTGCCGCCATGGATCCACTTTGCATCAAGCACTTGTTGTGGGTAAGTAGGTTTGGTTAACCCAATATATATAATGCCTTCTTTTTAATTACTAACAAGTAACAACGAAATCCAGTCTACCAACGAATGGTCAATGATTGATCACTATATTTTTGTTTGCTTCCTATATCAGGATATGTTCGTCGCCGGTACTCATACAACTTCAAGCTCACTAGAATGGGCAATGGCTGAACTTCTTCGCCATCCCGACAAACTCGTCAAAGTCAAAGAAGAATTAGACAAAAACGTTGGAAAAGGCAATCATCTCCATGAATCCGACATTTCTCGATTACCATATCTACAAGCTATAGTGAAAGAGACCTTAAGGCTACGTCCAGTATCTCCCCTGCTGGTTCCCCGCAAAGCAAACGAAGATGTGGAAATTTATGGTTTCGTCGTGCCGAAAGATGCGCAAATTCTAGTCAACATATGGGCTATAGGTCGCGATCCCGTGGTGTGGGAAAATCCGGACTCGTTCATGCCAGAAAGATTTTTGGGTTCGATGATCGATGTTAGGGGGAAAGATTTTGAGCTGCTTCCATTTGGTGGCGGAAGAAGGATATGTCCTGGAATGTCGTTGGGATTGAGAATGTTGCATATGATGTTGGGTTCACTGGTTCATTGGTTTGAATGGAAGCTACCAGATGGGGTCGTGCCAGAGAAGCTCGATATGGAAGAGCAGCTTGGAATGGCTTTGCATAAATTCAAACCTTTGCTTGCTATTCCGAGAGAAGATGGCAAAATATCTTATAAAAAGGATTAGCGTTATGTAGTTGAAAACTATCGTTGTGATGATCATGCCAATATCTCTTCCTGAGCATGATAACGTAGTCATAAACTTCAATGGATCAGGAAAAGCCTTGAAAACACTCTTCCTCTTCATGCATCTCTTTGCCCACTCCTTTCTTGTTCCCATCATGTATCCTAAGAAGCTAAGGTTGAGACCTTTGTTGCAGGTTCGAGCATCATATAAATATTTTTGTGGGAGAAGTTATATATACTAGCTACGTACTGTACTTTCCTTTGTTATATATACTGGACCATGGTTTTGCTGGAAAAATCCCAAAATACACATGTTTTTAAAAAAATTTCCCAAAATACACATGTTTGGGCATCACCGCTGTTGTCAACCGCAGTGAATGCATTCACCGCGGCAGACCAAAGCGGTGAATGCATCACTGCGGTTGACAGCCGCGGTGAATGCCTGACGTAACACTGAAACTTCAAACAAACGTAACTTTGCGCTCGGTTATCCGATTGTAGCGAAATTTTTTTTATTCCATATAACTTTTCAAGATCTTTAAATCTGAAACAAGACTTTATCCCAAAAAAAATCATTTGCTACCCCGAACGAGCAATTTTTCGATTTTAACAAACTTTGGAAGATCATAACTTTGTGCTCCACAATCCAAATGTCATGAAACTTTTTTTGATTTTTCATAAATTTTGAAGTACTACAACATTGATTATAACCATAATTTTGGAAAGTATGTGGATTTGTGAAAAGTAAAGGCAAAGTTATTCCCAAAATCCCGTATACCCAAAAATACTTCTTTTTAAAAAAATTATTTCCTAGTCAAAGTTGTATTTCTTAAAAAGTTATGTGCAATCAAAAAAAACTTTACGACGTTCGGATTGAGGAGCTAAAAGTTATGTCCTTCCAAAGTTTGGCAAAATCGAAAAATTGCTCGTTCGGGGTAACAAACGATATTTTATGCTCTTTAGTGTAACTGTAGAGGTAAATACATTTATAGGAAAGGAAAACCAGTCAATGGGTGATCATAGGGGATTAAGAGAATCAACAATTCAACAATTGAACATTCCAATGACTCAACCATCTAATCCCTTTCTTGAAATAATGCCATTGAGATTGGGATTGGATCCCAATCTGAGAAGGGAAGATCATTATATTGCACCAATAATTGAGTCAACACAAGCATTATTTGGTAACTGGGTTGCTAGTTGCTACTGGCAGCACACCAAGTTGGACTTGGGACAAGGATGAGGAGGCGACAATCCTTGTGTGGAAAATTATTGTTAAAATGATAGCTAATGCATGCTAAGCCACATATCCGATGTTAAGTAGCTTTGTAAGGTTTTTAATCTAAATAACGTCCCATTAGAAGAAAAGAAAGAAAGAGACATATCACTACAACGTAAATGGGTATTTGTGACTAACACAAATGGTCGCTAAATGTGAAATTTTAGTCACAAATTAGTGATCAATTTTTTTATTACCAGCTTTGGTCATATTCACCCGTTAGAAAACCATTTTCAAACCAAAATTTTCATTTGATCACAACAGTTGATGATTTTTGTGACGAAAACAACAATGGTCACAAATCAAATTTTTGGTTACAAATATTATTTCCAACTAATATTGAAGGGTAATCACTTTTACCACCTTTCACCATCGTATACCACGAGTTACCCCATATGCAAGGTAGGTATAGGATTGTATATTTGGTCTTGAATTCCCCCCCCCCCCCCCAATAAATTTGTAGATTTGAGTTAAAAACGAAGGTGGTACAGATTGGTGCATTATGATTGTACTAATAGGAGGGTAATTGGTATGAATTGTTTTTCAAAAAATATGAAAAAATGTATATTTTTTTGTAAATCACAAGGAAATTGTTACACCCGTCTAAAAAATTGATATTCAAGCTAAAAAATAAAATAAAAATACAAGTAGATTAAAAAAATAAAAATAAAAGTATTTTAGCTCAGCCCTGAACCCACTTAAAAGTAAGAGATCAAATTTACTTACACAAATGCATAATCAAGAGTTATGTATCTTACCCTAGACCCATGGTGGGACGCAGCCAATCAGTTTTGGTTCTCCAAATTAATATTGTTGTTTTCTCTAAGTAGTTCTAGATCATTTACTATCACTAGATTAGGGATGGCAATGGAGCGGGTTTGGAGCGGGTTTGCCTAAACTATCCACATCCTCGCTTTCAAATATCTATACCCATACCCGCCTCATACTCATGCGGGGAAGGTTTTGCAAACCCATCCCCATATCCATGGATTTCGGGTACCCATAGGTAATACCCCCATACATCCAACATTATAATACGAAATATTTTACATGTAGACTTTCAATTATAACATTAAACGCACCTACTATATCATGAAGTCGAAAAAGAGACAATCATTTTTAACGATTCAAAGCATCTTATCCTAAAGCATCCATTAATCCATATCAGAGTAGAGTACAATGTCATTCAAATCATTATTCTCTACTGTGATACATCTATTAAGTAATAATTAACTAACGTAATCTTGTTAACAAGGGGAAAAAGTGAAAGAGTGAAGGGAAAATTGAGAGAAATAAATTAGATTTTGATTTGGGTGGCCACTCAATTGCATTTATACTATATATTTTTATTGAGTTATACTCACTATTATTGATAGGTTACAAATTGATTCACATATTTTTCATATGTGAAGAAATATTTTTGGTGGGACGGGTATGGGGCGGGGGAGGCTAAAACCATACCCGCCCCATACCCATCAAATTTTTTTGCGGGTTTTACCCATACATGCCCCATACTCTGTCAATGCGGGGATTCCCCGCGTTGACTGGATCGGGGACGGTCGGATACCCGTGGGCATGGGTTTGATTGTCATCCCTACACTATATGGGACAACCCACGATCTTGATTTTGAGATTCATTGAATCTACAATGTTATTTAATTTTATTGACCTAATCTGACTATTACTATGATATTACAGATTTTAGCACCTTTGTACAATTGTTTTTCATGTTTAAGTAATACACTAAGTATGTTATTATAAAATTGTAACATTGTTGAGTACCCTAAATGTATTGTGTGTTTCAATAAAAAAAATGTATTGTGAATACATGTAAATGGCCCAACTATGTTTTATGACTATTATCTACCCAGAAATCAATATATTATAAAAGATCTAAAAGTGCCGAGGAAAAACATATAAACATATCAATATTAGATTTAAAACACAAATTGAGTGGTTTAATTCATAATTTTTTTGAGAATTTATTAGTCAAAGATAACGAAAATATGTTTGAGAATTTACAAGAAATAATACGTTCTGCGACAAAAGAATTAATCGCTGAAGGGCTATAGATTCGTCGCTAATAATTTGCAACAAAAAATTTCGTGGCTAAAAATATCTATCATTCGTAGCATACATATATCGGTTTTCTTACATGATACAAAAGTCATAAACTTGACTCTCTCCCCCTTAGATTGCTTTTGATTTTGGCTATGATTCAAATTCTGCTTCACTACTACTGCTTGCTTAGCTTTCACTTCAAACTTAATTTCTCTTTCATGGAAAGAGCAACCATAGACAAATACGAACATTTAATTCACTTGAGCTTCGAGATTGAAGAGGTGGACAAGCTTCACTTTTTTTTTTTTTTTTTTACAATTGGACAAGCTTCACGATGCACTTGAATTCTTTACTAATGTGGAGAAGAACAAGATAATTGTTGGACAGGGCTCCTTTAGTTGCTACTAGTCCTAGATCTGCATTTTAAGAGGTTCAAGACTAATGGACACCAAATATAAACCGTGAACACATAAATGTCGATAAAATGAATCATGACATGTTCAGGCGGTGAACAACATTTAACACCGTAAGCATATTATTTATTGGTGCTCAATAGTTAAGGAAAGCATCCATATAGCCATAGCCATGAACATCCAAAATTCAACACCCAATAACATTTTTTTTTTTGTTTTTATTTTCAAAGAGGCACATGATCAATGAACAATGAAGCAATGTGCGCCTTTAAAAGATAGGGATCCGTGTAGCCATCGCCTTTCTCGTATAACACGTGAGAGCAACGTGCATAATTGAGAATACGTTGTGTGAGAGCTACAGGCAGTGGAGTTGGGTTTTGACAGTACTCTTCCGTAGCGTCTTTCCAGGCTATAGAAATCTCATTCCGAAAGGATTCAACGGCTTCGTCCCGAGATGCTGATAAGTTCTCCTTCACGTAGCATTCCACTGCGGAAGCCACATGCTCTCTCTCTCGTTCCAACTGAGGAAACAAACACAAATCAACAGTAGTGAAACTAAGAACCAATTTTCAACGTTATATATAACCTTCACATCATGTAAATGTTAATGACTGGTATTCTCCATGTGATCTCACCGTTAGATGTAATTTGTTATACTTTGACGAATCAAAATCGTCTATATATATAATATGGGAGTTCTATGTCATTCTTTTGGGAGATCTATGCAATGCTTTACATCAAACATGGATAACACAAGTAAATGTTTAATGGTTACCTCATGAGAGGTGATATCATTTTCGAGCCTACCAATGGCAGCGACACTTCTTATCATCTTAGGTTCATTGGAAAGCCATTCGAAAGCCTCTCTTGTGGCTATTTCTGGTCCCATCCCAAGAAAAGCAGACGCAGAAAGAATGAGTGAACTGCTGGTGATATATGCTTCCTTCTTGTACTCCTCAAGTGTTGGAACGTAGCCTTTGTTGCGCCACAGAGCCTCAGTCAAGTAGGATCCACATATTCTTTTTAGCTATATATCAATCATGCAATTGCGAAGGAGGGAATTAATTGATGAGTATTGAATGCTTCCACATTGATTTCGTCAAGTATACAAGTTCACTGTCGTACCTCTGCCTTAGCATACTCAACACCGAAAGAGGATCCTAATTTTCCAACTTCCACATTGATTTCATCATAAGTGTTAACGATGACACGGTAAATATTCTTCATCGTGTCGGGTAGTGCTTCAATAGCCTCCCCATCAAACCTGAAAGGAAGTATATTCATATGTTACACTCAAGAAAGGGAATACATAATTAAGCAGTTAACTGAATTCTAAATGATCATATGTGTGTGTTAAAAGCAGTAAGCACTGCACCTTTGAATAGCTTCTGTGAGGATTTGGAGCTCTTCGTACGTAGCAAAGTTATCGAAAGTGTCATCCACGAGTGACAAAGTTAAGAAGACCTTGTTGAGTATCGTCCTTGCCAATCGATATTTGGGCTCGAAGTAGATAGCATTTATACAAAAATAGCACTCCACGACTCTGTCTCTTGCGTACGGAAAGTTGGTTGTCACTTGAAGGCTTTGCCACCAGCTATGTATACATACATATATATATTAGACAAGTAAGTAGAATGGACAAACTTCTTTCTTGAAGAACCGACATGAATAGCACTTACTTTGAGATTTCACGGAGCTCCTGCTGATGAATGTTTTGGACCATATTGAAGTCCAACTTTGCGAGCATGAGGAGCTTTTGGTTGTGTGATGGATCCTCGGAGTAGAAATCGATGTAATACCTAGCGAGTAACCTTGGGATGCACTTCCAAACGGGAAAACGAAGTGCAAAATTGATATGCTTTTGGAACCTAGGGTTGATAGTCTGTGGGAGGATTGAGCACTTAAGGGTCTTTGTTGCAAAACTTAGGGCTTCGTCCAATATGTCTTCTCCATTAAACGCCATGTGTGCTGCCTCGTACAAGCTTAACAACCCTTGGTCATTGGTTGATAACCATTCGTTGAATCTTCCTTCATTGTCCTTCAACTTTGTAAACCAATCTACAAATATCATGCTTATCCACGATTAACTTATATGTAAAAGAGAGAGATAGATTATCATTAATCAACTTAATCAAATGGTTATAACAGACATACCGTGTGAGACAGGAAATCCATGTTGTCTGAGGAGTCGAAATCGAAGAGTTGCATGGTAGAGATCGGTACCCTTGTCATCCATATTATTGAACAAGCCATCCCCTTTATCATACACTTTTTCAAGTGCTTCTTCTATCTCCGTTTCAAAATGATACCCAACACCTAACCGTTGGATTGTATCTATCAGTTGCAACTTGTCGGCCATCGCGGCCTCGTCATCTCCACTTTTCGGTTCATAAGTGATCAGCATCTTCCTCACTTCTTCCTTTAGAACTTGGTATTTGGGTTGCTTTTGTTTGACCTAAAAAAAACAAGTATGTGACTACTAGGCAGCCTTATATTAAATGTCGTTAAATGTTTTAGCGGCTATGACCCGTCGCTAAATCACTGTTTTATTCAGTGATCGGTAAGAAGTTAGAACCGATCCATTTTGTGGCTCTCACCCAACAAGTTGCGATACTCAAACCCATGTCGGGTTAAAACAGATAAATGACAATAGCCACTAATTAATTAATAATTGGTATAAATTAAATTAACCTGGTGGGAGACATAATCAACTTTGTTGTCGAGGAAGCCATCACCCCAAACTGTGCGAGGGAAGCTTGCTGATGAGACCCGATCCACTGCGCCGGCAGCGGTTGCCTGTAATTTCTGGGTCGCCGGCGCCTTATTACCAGCTGGCGGAACGACTGGCCGCAGTGAAGAAGATGACGACATAGTAATAATAAGAGCATGCATGGCTTGGCTGGCTGTTATAGCAGCTTCGATATAATAAGCTGTAGATGCCAATGCTGCAATCTATACATACTACTCTCGACTATATATAGTTGAATTCTGAAGTCTAATATTTGAAGATATTAGCAGAAATAAAAATCAGATATAAAATAATTGAAGGGTAGATAAAATATTCGGTCGAAGATATTAAAATAATATAATGTACCATCTTGTAATTTCAACAAGTATTTCATTCTTGGGCGGTGGCGGTCGGAGATGAGAAGAGGAAGAGAAAGCAATCGTCTTTCTTTGGAAGAAAAGAAGAAAAAGAGAAGAGATTGATGGAGCGAGAGAGAGAGAAAAATTGATGAAGACTTCTCTCTATTAGATGATTCTATTTTGATGATTCTGTTTCGGTTTCGATGATTCTATTTGGAGCATCCTGATTGTCATGCTGCTGTTTGGAGCATGTGGTATTGTTAGTTCTACGGACAAGACGACTTTGGCAAGAGCCTTTGCTATCTCAACTCATCTTCATGGACGTTTTGCGCAGCATGAAACAAGGTCTTCATCGACATTGGCATATTTGGCAGAGCTCCATTTTTTTCGTAGTAATTTGTGTCGTTTTTTTTTCCAGTTTTCAAATTGTTGGTAAGTGTTACCATCAATTTGGGGACGGTATTAGAGTACGAGTAGTATTATGTTATACTACAAGTAGTGTTACGCAGTGGTCAGTGTTATATTTACTAATTTTGGTATTGTTTGAGCCTAGAATGTACTAGGCGGATTGTAGAGAACGAGCGAAGCGTCTGTTCCAGATGATGGGGGGACTCCAAACTCCTGCAAAACAAGGGCCCGTGGGCGGTCGCCCAGGGCACTCTCCGATGCTTGAGTTAGAGAGAGAATGAGAACCTTTATGTTTATTTAGAGAGAGAGAGTAGTAGTTGGTTTACCATCAATGCAGATATGAATGTATTTATAGTGGTCTGGTTTGGGTTTCGGGCATTAAATGCCATTGTCAGGCGTCCTAGGCTGATCCTGCCATACCTAGACCGCCTACGGCGGGCAATTAATGCTCAGTCCTGCGGTGTTCGAGGTGGGTATCTTCGGAAGATCTCGCCCCATACCGAGCAACGGCTCCTTGTGTCAGGCGGCCTACTGCCTGTCCCATCCTAGGGCGGCCGCCCTCCTTTCCCTGTTCCCCATGCCTGCTCCTCGGGTCTCTCAGCGGGCCTCGGGTTTCTCGACGGGCCTTTCTCCTTGGGCCTTCTGTGGGCCTCCAAGCCCAGTACCGCTCAGCTATGGCCCAACAATTGCCCCTTAGTCGTGAAAAGCAGCGGGTTTTGGCGGCTACTCTTTTATACCGAATAGCTGAGCGGTCCCCATAATTACCGCTGTCCACCATTCTGCCCCTGGCCGCCACAGAGTTGCGTTTTTCACAACTGTTCTGTTCTTTCGCTTGTGCTACTCAGCTTCTTTATCTTGACTTCCTTACCGCTCGCTGCGTACCCTTTAAGCGGTCGACGTGTATTTATTAACCGCTTGCAGAGTTGGCATGGCTACCTATTTTTGCTTGATCTTTAAGCGATTCCGCTGTCCATCCCCTTTTGGGCGGTTGTCCATATAGCCGACATTCTTGTCTTTAGGTGATTCCGCTGTCCACCCTCTTTTTGGGCGGTTGTCGGACAAACGACTGTCCATACGGTCGCTATCCTCGATCTTTAGGCGATTCCGCTATCCACCCCTTTTTTGGGCGGTTGTCGGACGAACGACTGTCCATACGGTCGCTATCCTCGATCTTTAGGCGATTCCGCTATCCACCCCTTTTTGGGCGGTTGTCGGACAAACGACTGCCCACCTGGCCGCTGTTCTTGTTTGGTCTTTGGGCTTCGCTGTCCACCCCCTATCTTCCTCCGCGTCCCCGTCGCCCGTCGATTACTAGGCGGTCGCGCTTGTTTGTGCTTTGCCTCTTGCCGCCTCGTCTTCCGCGTTGCGTCGCACCGCCATCTGCTTATGCCACGTGTCGGCCTTGGACTTCGGGCCCTGACATCGGGCAGCTATCACGTCCAATCACCTGCCCGCTTTTTGAATTTCGTAGACTAGGGTTTGCTTTAGGCTACTCAACCGTCGCCTCGCTTTCCCCTCGCCTTGCCTATTTATACTCGCCCCATCTTCCCTCTTTCATTCTTCTACCTTTTCCCCGAAAATTCATCTCACTATCCTCTGATTCTTTCGGCAAGATTGCTCGGTGCTCCCGTTTCTCCCTCTCTTCCTACCTGCGCGATAGCAATTCTCTGTCTCCGTCGCGAGCAGACTTCCTCGTCAAACTTCGGCGACGCCAGAAGCGAGCCAAGAGAAAACTTCGGCGGCAACTGACGATGGACTCTCACAGCACTGCCCCTTCCGACAGTCAGAACCAGCATCTTTCCGGCGACGTGGTCGCCGTATTGACTTCCAGCGACGCCGCCGCTACTTCTGGTGACGTTAGGACTTCCAGCGTGAGTGTCCCTCGCTCGTCGGCAAAGTCCGGGGGCGGCTCCGGCGGGCCACAATCTGGGACTCGGCAAATAGCTCCAGGTATACTCTTCTCCTTGCTATTACACGCATGATTTTAGAACTTAGGACTTTCGTTTCTGAGCGCGTGGAGTTTGGTGCGGTTCCCTTAGTGATTTTTAGACGGTCTTCATTATGACCTTTTAGGAGTAGAACTGGATCTGGCTCTCGATGCGGGAACGTCCGGCGCTCGGCGTGGGGCGTCTTCCGGGGTTGGCGATAACCTCGAGGCATTTAGTTATTCCGAAGCTGAGAGTGAACCGCCTCAAAACCCATCCCGTATTGACTTTTCAGACGACGCCCATGGAGACCGCCGAGAGGGTGAAGAAGGGGAATTGTCCCTTTCTCTGACTCTGTCCGACTCACGACCCGTGGAGCCCTTCCAAGCCATCCATGATGACACTTACCGGGTCAGGCTGCACGAGGATATGTGGGAAGGAGGGACCGTCCCCTGCAGCGCGTATTCCCAGGGACCGCCTAACAAGGCCGCCTTCAAGCCTCATCAGGTTCTTCGACAACTTAAGACACATGGGCTTCCTACTGAGTGGGATTATGCGGCTCCTACTCCCAAGGGACGGTCTGGCTCTTGTCCGGGCGGTTGGATCCCCATACACGTGGAGCACCTCCGAATGGGTCTGACTTTCCCCATTGACATCCTTCTTACTCGGACGCTCCTCTTTCTCAACTGCACTTTAGGGAGGCTATCTCCGGGTATAATATTCCACTCCATAGCTTTCCGAGCCGCCTGCGAAAAGATTGGCGAAACGCCTTCGTTTGATGCGTTCCGCCAGTTATACAAGATGAGAGGCTCGGACAACTGCTGGTCTTGTTATCGCCGAGAGTCCCGTGTCGGCATTGTTAGCGGGGCGCCCAAGCTAGATTCTCCTTGGTTCAACGAGTACTTCTTTGCTCGCCCCCATGGTACATGGTATTCAGGGGAAGTTGAACCGCCGACCGGCTTTTCTTTCGGCGATAAGAAGGATTGGAATACTGATATCGATGGCCTGGAACCCGTTAAACCGCTGTTGAAGCGGATCGTGAGCGCCCTACAAATTCGTCTTCCTCCGAAGGGCGATGATAACGCCCTTGAGATTGTTCGGCGGTTTCATGGTTAGTTATTTCCTTTGTGTGTTAAGCAAATCTCTCATGTGCTCCGCTTACGTATTTACTTTTCAGGCACTCGGCGGTACGCATCTGCTGCTCGCCCGCCCAAGCCCGGGAGCTCTGCTCCCGTCTCTTCAAGTTTGGCTCCTTCAGACTCTCCCGCGACGGCCGTCGCTCTCTCGCTGTCACCTTCCCAGAAGCAGCTGGTTGCCAGCCGCTCAGGGGTTTTGAAGCTGTCCGAGCCCTCAAAGAGGACTTCCGTCAAACGGCCCTTGGATATCACTACCTCCAAGGACTTGATATCGGCTGCTGGGGAGGGAAGGCTGAAGGGGGTCGCGTTTGAGAAACCGGTCACTCCCATCGATCCGTACCTTGCTTCGAAGAAACAGAAGAGGACCGCTGTCGACACTTCAGTGTCGTTCTCCTCCAATGCGTCCTTGTACCCTGCTGCTGCTAAACGTGCTATGCACGTGATTTCCGAGGGATTGGCGGTTCCTGAGGACTTCACTCACGTCGCGGGTACCCCTGTGCTGACTTCAGAAACCAAGCATCTGGCGGCGACGACTTCCCGTTACTTCTTTGCGGTTTGCGCTTAACTTTCGGCTTGCTTTCCTTATACTTCATCAGATTTGGACTAACTTTGTAAACTGTCTTTTTGTAGGCCCAATTTGGTTTAAACCAGATAATGCTGCACAACGACCGCCTTCTTAGTGACCTTGACGACGCGAGGACCAAGGTCCTCAAGCTTGAGGATCAGGTGAAAGAAGGTCGCGAAGGGCTAAGGGCGGAAGTGCGGGAAGAGTTAGTGAAGGAGCAGGAGCAGCTGGTAAAGGACAAGGACGCCCAGATTGAGGCGGGGAAAGAGTCAACAAAGAAAGCCTTGGAAGATGTCGACCGCCTACGATCTGAACTGACCGAGTCTCAGGCTCG